CTACTTGTCCAGGCTCAGAACAACATTATCTGACATCTTCGGAAACTGCATATCAAGTAGATCACCACGTCGTTGTCCTCCGGCTAGGTGTCTGTACTAACCATGCTAGTAGAGGAGCTCCAGAACTTGTTGCAGTGTTGCAACACTTGCCTTCTCCTCACTTGTCCGTACAGAAGGTCCGTCGCATGAGATTTAGGGATGCGGGCTTATAACTGTGCGGGGTAGTCGTTCCCTCTCCATCCGGACTGAAATTTGACGACATCATTTTAGTTGGAAATTTCATCGGAGATGATTCGACGAATTGAAACAATAGACAAGCAGAACAATGGGATGCACAGAATGAGTGGGTGTGGACAGTTTAACTGCTGGGCAGAGTAAGCAGTATTGGTGCTCAAAAACTGCATGAGTCACATGAAGATCCTCAATTGTCGTACTTGCGCGTATGCTGGTACAGCTTCTGTGTAACGTGTACTCTCATTCAACGACGTATGTGAAGTGGCAAGACTCGTTCTTGTTACTGAAGTCTCCATCCATCATTACTCACTATCCTCCCGCCTACTTCTTATGTTGCTCTATAAGTTCATTCATCGTCTCTTTACAACGTCATGCACTCGCCATCCGCGCTACTTGTCCAGGCTCAGAACAACATTATCTGACATCTTCGGAAACTGCATATCAAGTAGATCACCACGTCGTTGTCCTCCGGCTAGGTGTCTATACTAACCATGCTAGTAGAGGAGCTCCAGAACTTGTTGCAGTGTTGCAACACTTGCCTTCTCCCTCACTTGTCCGTACAGAACAGCTGTCGCATGAGATTTAGGGATGCCGGCTTATAACTGTGCGGGGTAGTCGTTTTCGCTCCATCCGGACTGAAATTTGACGGCATCATTTTAGTTGGAAATTTCATCGGAGATGATTGGACGAATTGAAACAATAGACAAGCAGAACAATGGGATGCACAGAATGAGTGGGTGTGGACAGTTTAACTGCTGGGCAGAGTAAGCAGTGTTGGTGCTCTCAAACTGCATGAGTTACATGGAGATCCTCAATTGTCGTACTTGCGCGTATGCTGGTACAGCTTCTGTGTGACGTGTACTCTCATTTAACGACGTATGTGAAGTGGCAAGACTCTTTCTTGTTACTGAAGTCTCCATCCATCATTACTCACTATCCTTTCGCCTACTTCTTACGTTGCTCTATATGCTCCTTCATCGTCTCTTTACAACGTCATGCACTCGCCATCCGCGCTACTTGTCCAGGCTCCGAACAACATTATCTGACATCTTTGGAAACCGCATATCAAGTAGATCACCACGTCGTTGTCCTCCGGCTAGGTGTCTATACTAACCATGCTAGTAGAGGATCTCCGGAACTTGTTGCAGTGTTGCAACACTTGCCTTCTCCTTACTTGTCCGTACAGAACAGCTGTCGCATGAGATTTAGGGATGCCGGCTTATAACTGTGCGGGGTAGTCGTTCCTGCGCCATCTGGAATGTAACTTGACGGCATCATTTTCCACGTAAATTTCATCAGAGATGATCGGACGAATAGAAACAATAGACAAGCAGAACAATGGGATGCACAGAATGAGTGGGTGTGGACAGTTTAACTGCTGGGCAGAGTAAGCAGTGTTGGTGCTCTCAAACCGCATGAGTTACATGGAGATCCTCAATTGTCGTACTTGCGCGTATGCTGGTACAGCTTCTGTGTGACGTGTACTCTCATTTAACGACGTATGTGAAGTGGCAAGACTCTTTCTTGTTACTGAAGTCTCCATCCATCATTACTCACTATCCTCCCGCCTACTTCTTACGTTGCTCTATATGCTCCTTCATCGTCTCTTTACAACGTCATGCACTCGCCATCCGCGCTACTTGTCCAGGCTCCGAACAACATTATCTGACATCTTTGGAAACCGCATATCAAGTAGATCACCACGTCGTTGTCCTCCGGCTAGGTGTCTATACTAACCATGCTAGTAGAGGAGCTCCAGAACTTGTTGCAGTGTTGCAACACTTGCCTTCTCCTTACTTGTCCGTACAGAACAGCTGTCGCATGAGATTTAGGGATGCCGGCTTATAACTGTGCGGGGTAGTCGTTTTCGCTCCATCCGGACTGAAATTTGACGGCATCATTTTAGTTGGAAATTTCATCGGAGATGATTGGACGAATTGAAACAATAGACAAGCAGAACAATGGGATGCACAGAATGAGTGGGTGTGGACAGTTTAACTGCTGGGCAGAGTAAGCAGTGTTGGTGCTCTCAAACTGCATGAGTTACATGGAGATCCTCAATTGTCGTACTTGCGCGTATGCTGGTACAGCTTCTGTGTGACGTGTACTCTCATTTAACGACGTATGTGAAGTGGCAAGACTCTTTCTTGTTACTGAAGTCTCCATCCATCATTACTCACTATCCTCCCGCCTACTTCTTACGTTGCTCTATATGCTCCTTCATCGTCTCTTTACAACGTCATGCACTCGCCATCCGCGCTACTTGTCCAGGCTCCGAACAACATTATCTGACATCTTTGGAAACCGCATATCAAGTAGATCACCACGTCGTTGTCCTCCGGCTAGGTGTCTATACTAACCATGCTAGTAGAGGAGCTCCGGAACTTGTTGCAGTGTTGCAACACTTGCCTTCTCCTTACTTGTCCGTACAGAAGGTCCGTCGCATGAGATTTAGGGATGCCGGCTTATAACTGTGCGGGGTAGTCGTTCCTGCGCCATCTGGAATGTAACTTGACGGCATCATTTTCCACGTAAATTTCATCAGAGATGATCGGACGAATAGAAACAATAGACAAGCAGAACAATGGGATGCACAGAATGAGTGGGTGTGGACAGTTTAACTGCTGGGCAGAGTAAGCAGTATTGGTGCTCAAAAACTGCATGAGTCACATGAAGATCCTCAATTGTCGTACTTGCGCGTATGCTGGTACAGCTTCTGTGTAACGTGTACTCTCATTCAACGACGTATGTGAAGTGGCAAGACTCGTTCTTGTTACTGAAGTCTCCATCCATCATTACTCACTATCCTCCCGCCTACTTCTTATGTTGCTCTATAAGTTCATTCATCGTCTCTTTACAACGTCATGCACTCGCCATCCGCGCTACTTGTCCAGGCTCAGAACAACATTATCTGACATCTTCGGAAACTGCATATCAAGTAGATCACCACGTCGTTGTCCTCCGGCTAGGTGTCTATACTAACCATGCTAGTAGAGGAGCTCCAGAACTTGTTGCAGTGTTGCAACACTTGCCTTCTCCTCACTTGTCCGTACAGAACAGCTGTCGCATGAGATTTAGGGATGCCGGCTTATAACTGTGCGGGGTAGTCGTTTTCGCTCCATCCGGACTGAAATTTGACGGCATCATTTTAGTTGGAAATTTCATCGGAGATGATTGGACGAATTGAAACAATAGACAAGCAGAACAATGGGATGCACAGAATGAGTGGGTGTGGACAGTTTAACTGCTGGGCAGAGTAAGCAGTGTTGGTGCTCTCAAACTGCATGAGTTACATGGAGATCCTCAATTGTCGTACTTGCGCGTATGCTGGTACAGCTTCTGTGTGACGTGTACTCTCATTTAACGACGTATGTGAAGTGGCAAGACTCTTTCTTGTTACTGAAGTCTCCATCCATCATTACTCACTATCCTCCCGCCTACTTCTTACGTTGCTCTATATGCTCCTTCATCGTCTCTTTACAACGTCATGCACTCGCCATCCGCGCTACTTGTCCAGGCTCCGAACAACATTATCTGACATCTTTGGAAACCGCATATCAAGTAGATCACCACGTCGTTGTCCTCCGGCTAGGTGTCTATACTAACCATGCTAGTAGAGGAGCTCCAGAACTTGTTGCAGTGTTGCAACACTTGCCTTCTCCTCACTTGTCCGTACAGAACAGCTGTCGCATGAGATTTAGGGATGCCGGCTTATAACTGTGCGGGGTAGTCGTTCCTGCGCCATCTGGAATGTAACTTGACGGCATCATTTTCCACGTAAATTTCATCAGAGATGATCGGACGAATAGAAACAATAGACAAGCAGAACAATGGGATGCACAGAATGAGTGGGTGTGGACAGTTTAACTGCTGGGCAGAGTAAGCAGTGTTGGTGCTCTCAAACTGCATGAGTTACATGGAGATCCTCAATTGTCGTACTTGCGCGTATGCTGGTACAGCTTGTGTGTGACGTGTACTCTCATTCAACGACGTATGTGAAGTGGCAAGACTCGTTCTTGTTACTGAAGTCTCCATCCATCATTACTCACTATCCTCCCGCCTACTTCATATGTGTCCGCTCACGACACGCAGTTCTGCGTCACGTGACCAACTAAAAGCATGCTTAATGGCGCACCTTATCAGCCCTGCTTCATGAAATCCCTGATTCCTTTCACACTATGAGTTAGTTAGTGTAACGGGCACCCTCAAGCTTGTACTGATGACAGACAAGCTACTTATTTTGACTACAGAATAAGGCGGTGCCTCGCAACTTCACGTACACTCGTACGTGCAGAGGAAGACGGTAAGAAGAAGCGAGTACTTGGTTAAAGTAAAAAGTAGAACAGTATTTAGCATAGTTAATGTCTGTTAATAAATCACTTTTTATCCTCATCTAACTATGTCTGAATTCTAATTTGTATATCAACTATCTGCTCACCACTCATTGCGTGCGTCTGTCGTGGCGCGTCTTCGTTGGTTGATATAATGGCCTATATCAACCAATTAGGAACTACTCGTAAGTGCTGCAGAATATTTGTCCTTATGACAATATTCTGAGAATATAACTCTTATAGTTATATTCTATTAACAATTTCTTATAAATTGTTATGTAACGATTCACCCCGTTACATCACCCCCCTTAACCATCAGTCACTTTAGTGACTGATTGACTAAATGGATACTCGTCTTAAATCATTTGGGACAGAATTTGCACTTGTTGGTCCGAGTCTACTTTCCAACAATTTCATCGCATGGTTAACAAGCCCATGCGGTGCGCGACCAAGGCCGCCGAGAGCGCGTCTGCACGTCTCTGTGCGGACGACGAAGCAGAAATTACTGCAACAGATGTTTCATCGGTTGCTAAAGCGTCTCAGCCTGTATCACCTGGTGATGCAGGCGCTCGTCATGAAGACACTCATGTCTTCACAGAGTATGAGCTCGGTGTCTCATACTCTCCTGATACGGAAGACGGATCCGTATCGAAGGCGATTGAAACCAAGCCGCCTGCCAAGCGTGGCATGGATGATGCTACGCGTCGTAGCATCTTTGGTTCGTCTGACGAATCAGATGAACCATCGCCAAAGCGAAGGCGCTCGAGATCGCAAGACTCGGGCGCTCACAGTGGTGTCGGTTCTCCTATTGACACCACTTCGCAGCGAGGTGCCAGTACTTCTGTCGGCACGTCTCAAGAAGAGCGGGACCGCAATGTCTTGCGTCTCGCTCCAAAAAAGAAGTCATGGCTGCCCCCGAAGTCGGTCATGGATCGCTTGTCGGCGACGACAAGTGATCGCTATCCAACACGATTAGTCGATTCGTCAAGGATCCATCACCTTGACCCCAGTGCAACAGATTATCACACTGAGCATGAGTTCTTCATCGATGCTTTCTTTAGTCATCGATAGTACAGTGGGAATCACAAACGTGTTGGTCCCTCACTGCTTCAAGCGTGGAACGCTTACATCCATAACCTTGAGGATGTAGGTCGTAACGTTTGGAACGACAAACTTATCAAAGCTCGTGATAAGTTTGAGAAAAGAACCCCGACAGGTGCACGCTACAAGCTGCATCGTCTGTCTAAGGAGGGTGGGTTACCCTGTCTCTCCTGGGGAGACCCGTGCCCTTGTTGTGTGAACAACTCTGCGCGCGCACCTAAGGAGGCTTACCTCCTTACTAGCCCGTGGTGGCGCGTACGTATCTCTAGTGAGATGTACGAAGGGATTGACAACCTGAAATCCCTTTACGACCGTGCCGGGAAGACTTTCTCCGGCGGTCCTTCTGCGGCACAGGATGTGCCGCGTCGTACTGCTCGACCAGACCCAGTACGTCAATCATCAGTTGGGAGCGGGGCTCCCAAGTATCCCAGGACGGGGGATAGCCGCGCCACCGGACGAGATAACTCGTCCGACGTCCGTTCACGTCGCGGTGGTTCAACAGCTGCTCAACCAGATAGCGCTGGCCACCGCGAGAGTCCTCTAATGGAGGTGGAGGAGGAGGGAAAACGCTCTCCAAACTATCTTGGGGAAGCGTGTGTCCCCGAGAGCCTCTTTGATCGCGTAACGCAAGCGTTACGCGGCGATCTCGAACATGAGCGGGACAGGCGTCTCCAACTGGCGGACACTGTCTTGAAGCATCGAGCTGAGTTTGCCTTTGCTCAGCTTGAGAACGAGAGAGCTCTGACATCTCTGCGTGACGAGCTAAGGGTAGCTCGTGGGAATGTTGATCGGTCTCGGGCTGAGATAACTGCTCTTCAGACCCTTGTCGATATCCACCATCGGGAGCACAAGGCCCTCTGTGAGATGCTTGAACGCAAGGGCGTTCTTCATCGGAAGAAACAGCGTACTGATGGTACGGCTTAAGCCGACCAACGTAAAACGTGGGATGCGTTCGCATCTTACGTGGCAGTTCGATCGTGTATGCGTTGCCTAGGCGATGCAATACACGAAATGGACCGATGTACTTGGGTAGAAGTTTACTACTACCCAAGTTAGTCACTACATGCTTTGGTAGATTAACCGTAGACAGTAGGACTAAGTCACCTTTATTAAATAAAAGAGTGTTTGCCCTTCCATTCTTGTCTGCGTTTTGCTTTTGCTTATCCACCGCTTCGGCGATGGAGTCTTGCACAAAACGGACTACCGTTTCACGAGCCAGTATGAACTCATCTGATGACTCGTTAGCTTCAGTGCGCTGTGAGTGCACTGCAGCAACATCAATCTTTTCTTCAGTGAGGGCTTCCGCGCTCTCACTGGCATCATCTTCTTCGATATCGATGTTATCGATATCGGCATCAAACGCAATGACCTCTTCGTCAGAGCGTGATGAGCGTGAACCAAATCGGTTTTTGCTCGCGCGAGTCTCTCCCCCCCTTAAACCAGAGTTACACTCTAGTAAGGTGGGTACACGCGGATGGCGCAAGCCATTCACGTAAAACGGTGTATGTGTCGTGGACGCATGCACCGAGTTGTTAATGGCAAACTCTACCATTGGCAAGAACTCACTCCAACTCTTAAAGGAGTGTACGTATCCTCGAAGTATCTCTTCGAGGACACGATTGGCTCGTTCCGTCTGACCATCTGACTCTGGATGATCAGATGTCGACATCTTCAAGCGCGTTCCGAGTGATTTGAACACGGAGCGCCAGAAATCAGCAGTGAAGCGTGGATCTCTGTCTGATACGAGTTCACGGGGCAACCCATGAAGTCGGAAGATGGTGTCAATAAAGACACAAGCACAGCCACTTGCCGTGATTGACTCTGGTACAGCCACAAGGTGTACCATTTTGCTGAATCTGTCAACAAATACGAGAATACCCGTATTCCCGCGTGCGTCTTTGGGTAACCCGAAGACGAAATCCATTGAGATGGATTCCCAGCACTCTGCCGGAACCGGTAGAGGCTGTAAAGGTGCACGCAGTGAAGGACTTGACTTCACTCGTTGACAGACTTCGCATGCGCGAACATACTTTCGCACAAACTGATACTGGCGGGGCCAGTAAAAGTCTCGACTCACCGTGAGATATGTTTTCTCCCGGCCACGATGTCCTCCTATAGGAGCATCGTGATACTCGAACATGATCCGCAAACGCAGATCAGTATCATCTGGGATGACAACACGTGGTGTGTCACCAGTAACGGCTGTATAATACAGTAAACCGTTGCGAGTAGTGTATCGATCTGATGCAGATCGATACGCAGACGACAATCGTTTCAACGATTCTCGAGATGGTTGTGAGAGATGTGTCAACAACTTCACAATCTCACCATCTTGGGCATACGCCCGCCTCACATCATCATGTAACGTTGTAGATGGTATTGTGGACGTCATAACCGCAACAGTGGCTGTCCCACTGTTGGGTTTCACGACTGGTTCAAAGTCGGGCCGACGTGAGAGTGCATCAGCGACGACATTAAGTCGTCCTGGTTTGTACTCTACCGTAAAGTTGTATTCTGCAAAGAATGACAACCACCGCGCCATTCGTTGTGAAAGGTGCGGGCTGTTTACTGCCGTGCGTAATGACGCATGGTCTGTGTAAACAATGAAGGGTCTATCTCCTAATAGATAGACTCTGAACTTCGCGAGTGCATACTTCATGGCAAGGAGTTCCTTGTCATGCACTGGATAGTTCCGCTCAGCTGGTTGCAGCTGACGCGACTGATAGCAGACGACGCGTTCAACGCCTTCAAGATCGTACTGCATTAATGCACAGCCGATTGCGAAATCGCTGGCATCACAGACCACATGAAATGGCCTGTCCTGATCGGCTATTGCTAGGACTGGGGATTGTATCAAGCTCTGCTTGATACCATCAAAGGAGCGCTGACATTCAGCGTTCCATAACCACCTCTCGTTCTTTTTCAACAAACGAGAGAGGTGTACAGTCATCTCGGCGTAATTGCGTGAATACTTGTGCAAATACGCCGCTAGCCCAAGGAATTTTCGAAGACCTTTGACATCAACCGGCACAGGCCAGTCGGTGATCGCCTTGATCTTTTCGGGATCAGGACGTACACCGTTCTTACCAACGATGCACCCAAGAAGTGGTATTTCGCTTGCTGCAAATATACACTTCTTGAGGTTTGCATACAATTGATGCTTTTGCATGATTGTAAGAACCTATCGGACGTGGTACATGTGAACCTCAACATCCGACTTTCCATCCACAGCCCGACTATGGATGAATACGTCATCGAAATAGCTCGGCGCGAATTCCCGTACTGGTCTCAACAGATGTGATACACATCTGTTGAACGTGGCAGGGGCATTACTAAGCCCTTGTATACGGGGACTTATTCCCGCGGGTTTCGGGGAGCTTATTTCCACCGTGTCTATAATATCGGGACTTATTCTCTTAACTTCCTCTAGCTGTGGTTGTGCAATCACAGCGAGATCCTCTACGAAAGACTTTCCAGTCGATCTAGGATTATCGTTTCGCTTAACCTGAGCGATCGATGGTTTCTCTTCTAGATGTTCCCCGCTAGGGATACGTCTTTTTCCCGGTCCACTCGACTTATTCGGGTGGTGGACCTTCGGCGCAGCCTGTGTTTCCTCACAGCCGTCGGAAGCTTGCTCCGAAGTGTAACTGTTTAATACACTAAGGTTTTGTGCAGTCGTACTAACGACCGTACCACAAGTGAGGCCATCGCACTCACTCGTAGTACATCCACACGCTTGTGGACGCTCCAAAACGGTCATTAGATGGCCATCTGATGAACAAGCGGCAGGCATCGTTACTGTTTGATGTTGCCAGTTTACCCGTGGCTCGTACCTTCTGAGCCACGGTATTCCAAGGAAAACATCAAATATTTCATTTAAATCCAATACGATAAAGTTATCGTCATATTGGGAATCTTCTAGCGTAAAGTGAATCTTCACTATACTCGTCATGACGTTACGGATGCGCCTGTCGCAAGACGTACCGTCATCCTCGCAGGAGGTGTGTCACACTCAACAAACTTGAAGTGACCATCTTCTAGCGATTGGCGTTGCACAAAACTGTTGGACGCCCCACAATCGACTGGAGCTCGAAGGGACAACTTATTCGTCACTATAAGTTTCAAGGTAATGAGTAAGATATCAGTACTTAGAGCAGCAACGCACAATGTTTGTGTGTTGGGAGCAACCTGCATCAAGAGGCCTACAAATTCTCTTGAAGCTGCTGGACCAGTAGGGTGCTCCGCACCTACTGATCCTGTCCATTTTTTGACGGTCCATCCCGTTATTGCGGTTTTGCACCGACAGTGGGCCCGCGTCCCTGCCCCTTTCTCATGGGTGGACGGTCATTACGCCCAATGTTGCGATACACTGGACGAGGGGCACTACACTCGTAAGCGTAGTGTCCTGTCTTCTGACATCTGTTGCATTTCTGCAACTTCTTGTAGTCTGTAGAGCAAACCTTCTCGCTCTCTACATAACAGAGTTCCATCGGCTCTGGACCTCCGCTGTCATATCGTCTCGGTGGACGATATGATGTCGAGCTGGCGCGAGCCTGTCTCAGACTGAAGTCTTCCTGTTCCGCAATGGAAATTACTTGTTCTAGTAAATCTAGTTCAAGTCGGAACAGATGAGTCTTGACGGGTCTGCAAGACCCTGCATGAACACCGAAACCAACGTATGTTCATCCACCGGATTGAAACTTATACAACTCGTAAGATGTCTTATAAGTTGCGCGTAAGCGTGCACATCATGCTTACCCTGCTTGAGCTTCAAGAGTTCGGTTCGAGCTCTGAACTCAGCTCTAGGCGGTTCAAACGTTTGTCTGAGCCGCGACTTGAAGACTTCCAACGACCCAAACGCATATGGGTCGTGCAACTTGAGCCCCAGTGCCCAATGCTTGGCACGTCCTGCCAGATTTGACTGGTCAAATGCAACTTGCATATCCCCGTCGTCAATGCGACGCGCCCTTTGGCGTCGTCCAATTCGACGAACCATCTCAAGAGGGAGTCCTCTTCGACTCCCCTATACTTAGAGATGTCAATCTTCAAGGTTTCGGGTCGACGCGAGTGCATCGACCCACCAGCAGCAGCCTGCTGCTGTCTCAACAGTTCAAACTGTTGAGCACCCTTTTCTCTCAACAACTCTGCTTGTTGAGAACCTTGTTGGTGAAGCAGGCTACTTTCTCGCGTTCAGCGTCAAGTTCATTTTGAATGAATTTGGCGATAGTAGCATGTTGGGCATCTCTATTGAGAGCCTCTAGCATGACGCTAACAGCATGGATGCCCATGGTTGAACCCATCCGTTCAACCGCATCCCATTCGACATTGCTCGAATGGGAGTAGCCGTCACGCGTAGCGTGAAAGATTTGGCCATCTTCGTCATCTAACATGTTCATGTTGGATGTGAACGTGGTCCTTGGACGGACTACGAAGTGCTACCAAGTGTAACGGGGCGCCCTGAAGCTTGTACTGATGACAGTACAAGCTACTTATTCTGATGACAGAATAAGGCGGTGCCTCGTAACTTCACGTACACTGGTACGTGCAGAGGAAGACGGTAAGAAGAAGCGAGTACTTGGTTAGAGTAAAAAGTAGAGCTGTATTTATAATAGTTAATGTCTGTTAATAAATCCCTATTTATCTTCATCTAACTATGTCTGAATACTAATGTATATACAGTCTTCCCTCTGCTAAGTTATCCCCGGCTACGGAAAAACCTCCGGTAAGTTATAGGATTCGGTCTCCACCGACCTCGTTCTATGGTGACTACGGAATAAGTTATACGGAATAGCCTGAGGGCCAAATACAACTTATCAGAGGGAATATTTTTGTCCGCCGTGAGCAGAAATATTGTACGCAGAACCTTTTTTTTGTTATTCACTGCAAGAAAGGAGTGGAAAGAGGAGAGGGAACTACTTCAGCCAGGAATCAAGTGTGGCCTGAGTGGTGCTCGCACTACGGAGATCAGCTTGGACTTGGCGAAGGGTCCGGTGAGCAATACGATGGGACTCCTGAGAAAGGTCGAGAAGGGCGATGGATAGACTAAGGCTGGCAAGCTTTTCAGCCTTCGAATGCTTTTCCACCTCCTCCTCCGCCTCAGCAGCACCTTCCTCCTCCCCATACGGATCCTCAACAAGCTTGATGATTTCGGCATCGGTCAGCTCCGCATGCGCCGTCTCCTCCTCCTCAGCCGGATTGAGAAGAGAAGCGATCGACATGGGATTGCGGAGCGGGAGCCTTTCCAGCGCCGAAACAAGATCCTGTTCCACGCGCTGCTCCTCTACTGCAGCAGCTGCTGCCTCCTGCTGGGCCTGCTGGCCAACAGTGCCGGCTTCGTTTTCACCCTCACCAGTCGGCAGAGCCGGACCGTCCATGAGTCCCGTATGACGGAAGCAGTTGGCGATTGTGGCACTGGAAATCTCGCTCCACGCAGCCAGCGACCAACGCATGGCCGTGAGCTGATCAACCTTGTAAAGGTTGGTTTCTCCGCGCTCGTCACGGTCCAAGGAATTCTGCAGATGCAGCCGGCGGTAGTGCCTCTTGAATGCGGCAATAATCCCAGCATCCATGGGTTGGACCTTTGAAGTCGTATTAGGAGGAAGAACCTGGACCGTGATGTTGGTGAGTTCCAGGTCAGCAACAATGTGTGAAGGAGCGTTGTCCATGAGAAGCAGGATTTTTCTATCCTTTTGCTGTGGTCAACGCGTTAGTCAAACCTCCTTTACTGTACCACAACGATGATGTTCAAGGCATGCCCCAAATTACCTTCATACTTTTGTCGACGTCTCCCAGCCATTCCTGGAAGAGTATGCCAGTCATCCAGGCTTTCTTGTTGTTGCGGTAGAGAAAGCCCAGTCGCTCAGCTGTCTTGTGCTCAAAACAGCGTGGCTTTTTGGCGTGTCCAATGAAGAACGGCGGGAGTTTGTCGGATCCATCAGCGTTTGCCGTGAGAGCAACTGTGATGCGCGTCTAGAATAGTTGTTAGTGTCAGAGAAACGCAGGAAACCAAGAGGAGAGCAATAATGTACCTTGTCTTTTTTAAACCCTTCGACCTCTTTCTGGGCGATCGTTTTGTCGGGCGTCATACTGTAGAACAAACCTGAACAGAAAGTGAGCCTTTGAGACGCTTCTGTACTGTACAATGAGTACAGTACTGTACTGTATTCTCAGACCTACCAGTTTCGTCCATGTTGTACACGTCACGTGGCGCATAACCAGCAACCACGGCCTTGAGGTGTGGAAGAGCCTCCTCTAGAGCGCCCATATCTGCTGAGCCACTCTCGCCATGAATGCGGACAGCTCGCAGCTTGTGGCGTTGCTGGAATTTGTGGAGCCACCCATGCGAAAAGCTGATGTTTTCCTCCGAGACGCCCATTGATCCCGCAAAGGTCTGAGCCTTGGCCCGTATGAGATCTCCAGTGAGAGCGACCCCACGGTGCTGGCACTGCAAGACCCAGAAGGCGACGGCCTCCTCCACAGCTGGGTGCTGGACAGTCCGAGGACGCTTGGCGCTGAGGTCAGTGGTGTCCATTGCCTCAAGCTCCTTCCTTTTTTTGATGATTTTGCTGATCGCTGCCTGGGAAAGTGCCTTCTGGAGGTCAAAGGCGTCCTTTGTCCAAGCCGCCAGGGCAGTCTGGGTGATGCGCGGGTTAGCATCCTGGTGCTTGCAGATGCGCAGCTTCTGCTCGTTGGTAAGACGTATCTGCGACATCTGTTGTGAGTGAGCAAGGTACAGTTGGTGGAACTTCTTAATTAGAGATAGCAAAATCACCAGAGACTGGTGGGGCAACCAAAATCACAAAATCTTCATAGGGCACGTGACACGTGACAGACAGGTTTTGGAAGCCTGGAGGTTTGTTGCGTTTTTGATTCTTTAATTAATTAAATTAATAATTTTTCCGCAGCATACCTCTGCTATGGAATAACCTCTGCTATGTTATAGGATTTGCCTTCCACCAAGTCTATAACTTAGCAGAGGGAAAGACTGTATCAACTATCTGCTCACCACTCATTGCGTGCGTCTGTCGTAGCGCGTCTTCGTTGGTTGATATAATTACCTATATCAACCAATTGGGAACTACTCGTAAGTGCTGCAGATTATTTGTCCTTATGACAATATTCTGAGAATATAACTCTTATAGTTATATTCTATTGACAATTTCTTATAAATTGTTATGTAAAGATTCACCCCGTTACAGCTTATGCTTGCCGATTTGATGACAAAAGTGCTCGATGCAACAAAGCTTTCGAAGATTCTTGAGCTTATGAAGATCAGCTAAAAGGATGTCAAGGACGCAAATGACGTTAAAGGATGGAGAGAAATGAGAACGGAGGCTTAATCGAGGAGGAGTGTTGGAAGTTGAGGTTGAAGATCGTAAGTTGCGATTATCGCCAGCCGTCATTCGGTTCATGCATAGTCAGTGCAAGTGGGTAGTAGACAAGCTGATTAGCATTTATCTATTTTTTGATATTGTTGGAGCGCATATTGTTTAGAGAAGGATTGGCTAGGAGACAGACAGACAAATGACGAAGCTATCAATGTATATAATTCTATTGTCTACCTCGGCCCAGCAAGCATAATTGCTAACAGACATTGCCGAAAGGCCACCGAACACCCACATAAAACGGCAACAAAGGATGGGTTGTTCTAGCCCGTTTTAAGGGTTAAAGAAGTAAATCTACAATGCTCATGCAACGTTGTCTACTCCGGGTGATCGATGAAGATGATGTAAAATAACACTCAAGAATAAGTAGAGGGTGAGCATCATGCGACAGGTGTACTATGTTCTCATGATCGTCTATTTACACATTAGTAAGGAAGATGGTCTGAATGTGTAGCGGAGCTACACAGCTCTTTAAGTCAGAGGAAGACCTATTCAACAAGCCAACGGCTTCGGGCTGACAGCCTATTAGTTCTACGAAAGTGTTACATCAAGTTAAAAAGTCACCCAGTTCTACGGAACTCGGGTGGACTCCACGAGCTAACATCTCAGCTACTATAGTTTTAAAGAACTACACACACAATGTGCGAAAGTGGAATACCGGAGTCTACAAAAGACTCTCTAACCCACGACAGTTCTAAGAAACTGTCAAACGCAAGGTGCGAAAGAGGGGGTCTAGGGACTTCTGCTCAAGATGAGAGCTGCACTTTACCTAAATTTTTCATCAAGGAAAATCCTACTTTATGTACCCTGTATTATCCTAAATACAAATGTCAGTATTCGAACTAAATGGATGGTTGCCACATCACTCAGTCATCAAATGATGACGATACAAAGTACGTACACGGTAAATACCGTAAACCTGGGAATGTCGATCAATCGATATTCTCTTGCTGATATAAAATCTAAGGTCACACACATTCTTCCATATCATTTAGGGGAGGTCTTTGACCAATTCAGCCAAAAGCGAGTGCGACTTCGTTACAGAATGCGTTTGCATTATGTGCGAAGTGTCGTCGTTGGAGCTTTCGTGGAGGTTCTCTTGAGAGTGATAGAGACGTTTTGTAGGACGGATGGTCTTCACGTCAACCAAGCCTGTTCGAGCCTTTGTTTTAAGTGCTCTCACCCGTCGGAGGGGATGCTCTATGTGGACCTGCTCATATCACTGGCTCAGTCTCGACTGTGAACATTCAGAAATTAGAAGCATAAAAGTTCGGAAAAACCAAGTTGATAATTTAGGGGTTTCTAATTTAATTACTTGATTAATATATGAGGTGAAGGTTCGTCAGCGAAAAGTGAAGGGTCAGTAGCGGCTCCTTAATTTTATTTGTCAGGGTTTTATCGAGCGGTCGAAATTTACCAAGTAGTTGTGATAATTTTAGACATTCCCTTGATTGAGTGCATAATTGTGGGTAGCCCCGTGGAAATAGCAAATACTTGTGGTAAAATACGTAGTAATTCATTAGAAAAAGCTGATCATGCGACAGATTACGGTGCTACTTCTGATGGGTTTTCTTCCGATAGCTTATAATCTTCACTAACTTGTAGGACTTGACGTCGACCGTAGTCGTTCTATGATCGCTAGCTTATAACATGTAACTATGCAAAGGCTTATGGTTGGGACAGTGGGTTTCCTCGGACAGGTGTCCAAGGCACGTGCACTACTTTACATGTTGACCTTGAGAGACTTGGAGGATAGGTCTGGAATTTCCTCATCATCATCTTCTCCACTCCTTATATTCCTTCCTTCATCTCCTGCACTGCATCCAGATCTATTGATCGTTGAGCTCTAGCTGATCACTCTCGACTTCTTCAATAGAGCTGAGAAGATCAGAAATGTAGAGTCAGCCAAAGAAAGCACACCTTGTTCCCCACAAAGAACAACAGTCCCGACAAACGACCATGATGGTTACATGTCTCTGACCTTGAGCTACAAACTCGATCAGGTTTGGAAACGAAAGGTGACCTGTGTTGGTGGCCTAATGGGCTTCATTCACTGTTTGGGAAGATGTCCATTGGGAGTTCTCGTGGAGTAAGTGGTTATCGTGGAGTAAGTGGTTATCGTGGAGTAAGTGGTTCTCGTGAAAGGCTTCACTTTTATCCTCTCATTATTGACTGCACTATCGGGTACTGGTATGCGTGAGGCCACTTTCATCCGGTAACTAATAACTTTTGATAGCTTATCGAAAGTGTGTCCACCGAGACTAAAAGCTCGCAGACGGAGGATTGAAAGAATTCCATCAGGAATGCTAGAATTCATCGATAGAGTGTTTTCTGCTTGTACCACACGAAACGATACGAGAGTGCTGCCCATCGCGACTGAACGTCGTCGAGAGCTTACAAACCTGCATGCTCATTGAATTTGATACAAGCGATTTGATTGTGAAAAGCTGACCGGTGCAGTACTACTGCATAGTAAGGAGGGTGCTACTGAGGCTACGTTGGTGCATTCTTTCACAATATTTGCTTCCCACACGGGCAATGCTATCCAACTGCCGCACGTTGGTGATGCTGAATGACGCGCATGTGACAGACGCTGTACGATCAAATCACAGCATAAGTCACCCTTACCCGATCATCTATGCTTTGGAGTATGCACTATATTGAAAAATGGTGGAAATGCCTGGTCGATCAATAGCCCGTTGGCTGCGAAATCGAGGTCTAAGCAGGCAACGTCATCTTCTGGCCGTGGTACTTGCTGCATACGGCATATGAGACGAACAGATCCAAACGCGTAACAATGACAGTAATTAGACACAAATCACGGTCACAGCAACTTTCAGCTGAATAAACGCGAACCTGACAGCGTAGTAGTAGAAAAAGTCAACGTAGAGTGCTGTCTGCACCATACCGGCAATAAACATGAGCCAAATAAAATGGTAGGACGACTCGGTCGCAGCGCGATAGATCCAATTAATCACATAGCATCCTCGGTAGATTCCCAGCAGCACAACATAGTTGCCGGTAAGGTTCTCCACTTCTCCGTGGCGCTGCAGCAAGATGAGCTGCGGGATGATGGCTACGGCCTCGAGATAGATAGAGAATGTCCATAGAATCTCCATGACCTCAAACTGCTCATTAAAGACCAGCGCCAGTAGTGCGCAAGGTAAGACTGCAAATCTGAAGTGCAGGAAGGCGTCGTGCGACTTGTCGTACGTGCTGCGAAATGGATCCTTGAAGCGGATGACGTAGATGATGGCGCCCGAAAAGAGCAGAAAGAGCAGCTTCATGACCGTGTTGTACAGGCTCACAAAGTAGAGGAAGAGGTCCACGTAGCGCGTGAGGAAGACGACAAAGAAGAGCTCCTGTGTCTTGAGCGAGATGCCTACGAAGGGAGTATAATGGAGTAAAGGGGTGTTGGCATTTTACATCCACACATCACGATAGAGATGGATAGAGAGAGAGGGGGGAAACGCACCGTTGGCTGAGCGAGAGGCCAGCAGCTTGAGCAGCAGCACCAGGAAGCTGGCCAGGTGTGCCATGTCGCCCACCAGACGGAAGAGATTCATCGTGCACCGGTCCGGAAGAGCTTGAGCTGCCGAGTGCGTCGCGTGATCTTGACAATAGTGACTTGGTGGAGAGGTGGCCCCCCTCTGCCTTGATTTAGTGACACTCGAGTGACACATGACGTGGCTTGTTCAACATGGCTACATGCTTGATCACATCAGTGGCGTTATACTGTCAAAAGCAGATTCAATTATTGCAGATGCAGCTGGAATTCGATTAGGTAGATGAGGTATTTCAGTATAGTTTTGGACTGGATATATATCCGCTTTGAGAGGTTCGACGGTGGAATTTGAACGTACCGCGTGTCGACGGAAAGATTACAATGGTGAGGCTGATTTTTTAATGTCAAGGCAATCACGTGACCTCCTCGAAGTCGGCGTGATGATTAAATTGAGAGAGCAGTGCAGCAAATGGAGACTTGGGAGATTTAAAGGAGTGGCATGCGATCATCGCTAGGAGCCATTGCTTGAGCTCTCACGGGACCAAAGGATCACCTGAAATCTAGCCGATACGCTATACACATAACTACAATGCTAAGACAGTGGGCTTACGAGGAGTGTTGCAGCGCTCTGGATAGAGAGAGAACTTGTTTAATATACTAGTCTGCGAATTTTCTGAACTGATCCACGTACAGTAGTGAATGTCGTGGATGAGGCGACACAAGATTAATGCCTCTGTGTGTAAAGGGGTGGAAACAGCCTGTAGCAGTAAACGGACAACAAGTCTTACCATGGCAGCCAGGCGATGTACTTTTCATACTGTCCACATGCAATTTGCATCAACATCATTATCCTAATTTCCAGAAAGCCGAAATTCACTGTCAACGTTTTGTTGCATGCGGTTGTTTCGAAATGTAAAGGAAGTGCATACGATTGTATTAGCGATCGTGAGCTAAATCCTTTTCAAGTTTTACCTATTCGTATACTAGCTAGGCCGGATGGTCGAAGGGCAAAATATGCTGATACGTCGTATGGTACGATACTGTCTGTCGAAGTTCTTCCACTAGAATGACACAGCCTGTAATCACCGCATAGCTCAGAATACAACAAGACGGCAACAATTGTTCCGTACACTATTTTAACACGTTGATCCTCGATCGGTGACTTTAGATCGTATCATACGCTTCAAGCTAGCAACTACTTATCATTAAAAACTCAGTACCACACGTAGCTAAAACGATCGTTTCTAGGAAGACTGTCAGAATGAGATGCAGTGTAACATCTATCGTGACGTGATCCTGGGGCAGGACGCTGTGATAGTTCATTCCATTTGTAAAGTCACCGTTTTTGGAGACGGAGATGATAGTTTGCAACTCACATCTATCTCGAAAAGCACAATGGCACGTGGCAGACATGAAGAAGCAGGGTTACAGTATTAAGTATGGACACACACATGTCGTACTGCATCATGTCCACGAACGCTGCAAATGGTTGTGACCACTATCTCGCATTAAAAACCTCGCGCCCATAATGTACTCTACCGAATTTCTGACCAGTTGTGACGCTAAGTTCGTGTTGTATCCAGAATGACAATGGAAGGCGATTATGCGCAATCGAGCCATTACTGACCAGCGTCTAGATCGTCATCCGGGACAGCGAAAACAATAGTGCAGAAGTCAAGTACGTGGGGCATATCACAGAGTGCCAGACTGAGAAGTATTTGATGGAGCTCGATGCACTCTTAGGTTCTCCTCCTTTGCTGAATCTCCTACAGTATCAGTGCTGACAAGTTGAACGAATTGATGACTTCTATGAGAATGTCGATAGCATTTGGCACAATTGATCTGCGAGAACCCCTACCATTATCTTATTTTCTTTACTAAAGAATGACAGTTGGTTGCGACTAGGCAAAGGAATTAGTGGGATACATTGGATGGAAAGATGACTGCTTTGCCATGTTCCATCTCATTCACAGGCCCAGCTAGCACAATTATCTGCGGTCGATAGACGGGACGCACCCGTGGCTGGTATGAAGACCATCGGCTCCGGTACGAGTGCGATCAATAACATACCACGCTCAGTTGTTGACGTTAAACTCTAAATTCTAGGGTTCCCTATCAATCTAAGACTCCGCGACAGCAAGCCCAACTGAATGTGCGAAACGGTGGCTGAGGGTCAGTCACTTTCCAGTATAGCAGCTAGACCTAGCAAGGCGCCAGCCTTGTTTATTTCGATGTTACATGATTTTTTCTGTTCGTGATGAAACATCGTGCGATTCGAGAAGCAGAATGGCTCGCATGCTGACTCAAGGCGATCGAGCTGTCGACTGTTTTGCAGCTGTGAATGCTTGGCTAAGAGAACGACACAAGCTTGCTTTTTTCCATAGCCACAAGATGACTTGTAGATTATTCTGTTGACCGACTAGAGTTTAAGCCTTCATCTGACAAGCTTTCGCAGGCGGACCATGTGGCTCTGTCGAAATTGTCATTGCCGACTCTTTCACGATTAACCTTAATGTCCATAAATGACTGATTCATTCACGATGGATCGTCATCCCCAAAGTTGGCAAGGAACATTAGAAAGAGTACAGCGGTGCCGCATAACCCGTACATACAACATGCTAGACTTGCGTGTCTTGAAATTTCGCGACTATTGAGGATACACGCACGTACAAGCTACAGACAGGTCACAGGTACAGCATCAACCCGTTATCCAATTACTCGTCTAGAAAACTAAAATCGCAGTGTTTGGAGACGTGATCTGCTGCCAATTCTATCCGATCAACATCGTCACGTCGAATTTTGGCCGTGAATTGTGAAATTTGTGCCGTGATCGTGTAGCTGTCTGCCTTGTCCGGTGAAACGTAGATGCACGGGATATTGTCCGCGTCAAGACGCTGTGCGAGTTCAGAACTTGGCGGATTCCAACCGGTAAGAATGAGGCCCGACTTGAGGTTCCTGCCGTGCGTAGAAGATGCTTCTTCGTTGCCAATGATCGCGTCGATCACGTCCTTCCGCCCGCTATGCTGCACATGTCAATCAATCAGGGTGAAGACCTGCTCGATAAAAGACAACAGAGCACATCTATCGTACCGTGATTACGAGTTGGCTCGGGATGGCCTTGAAAAGGTTCGTGTCATCCACAGGAGCCAGTGCTAGTCGTGTGCTGCTGAAATAGCGCAGGCTTGCACTCTTGCCTGTTGTAGCATGGAAAGCAAAAACAAAACATGATCAGCCCATGCCAATGATCAACACAAGTATCGACCACACGCACCAGAAATGAGATTCGATTTGAGCAGCTTGGCGTAGTCCGCCATTGTCGGACACGACAGATCTTTCAAGTCGGGAATACAACCCACGAGTGGAATGTCCCAGCGTTTCAAAGCTCGCGAGTAATAGTCCTACAGCACAAGCATATACAAAAAGGTGGTCGTGAGTGTGTATCTATCTATGCAGCATTCGCGCTGACAGCACGACAGTCTGTACCTTAATCATGTCCATCTTGTTCGGATTAACCTTGTTTAGGATTACACCTCGTAGTCGGACTCCATTCTGCTTTAGCATCTCCCGGTTCATTGCCAGCTGGTCAAATGACGAGCCCAATCCACCGAGAGCCACGCAAACTGCGTCAAGCTTGAGCTCCGCTGTAGAGCAACAGCAGCAACAGCATCGAGTCAGCCAACAAACAAACAATGTAGCAATCTACAATCTACTGTAGCCACTACCTGCGACTTGTGCATTATTGAGTTCACAAATGGAACCAACTCCAGTGTGTCCCGTTCCTTCACAAACAAGAAAATCACTTTGCTCGTACAAGTTTTGATGTGCTACTTTGATTGAATCCATGAGCTGTTGTGATGTCACTTTGCCATCGATAAAATCCCGCGTGAAGCCATTGGGAAAGATGACGGGAGACATGTCCTTGTACTCTTGCACAAGCCCAAAGTGCTCTTTGAACAGGAACGCATCCTACCATTCCCAACAAGCACACACAATACCGTCAGTAAGTACATCTTCCTGCATCAGACACAAACCTAGATACGCTGTATGCATCATGCAGTGCAGTCGCGCTTCTACCCATTCTAAAAATAGTAGTTGTAAAAAAAGTAATAGACTCCTAATAATAGTAATACTACTAATTCTAAAAAGTAGTAATGGTGGTAATAATAGTAGTAATGGTGGTCATAGCAGACCACCCGTCTCGGCACCTTGTCGACTCGAAGCCCTCCGCCCACAGCCACGTGCTGCTGTCCCACAGGCTTGCAGTACGCCAGCTGCTTTCCCGATCCCTGGAACTTGCTCTGCAGTGTCTTCACAAGTCCAAGACTAAGCGTTGTCTTACCAACGTGTTGACCAGTCGACAGGACGAGCAAATGCTTGGTCATATTCGTACGAACGTATGTCTGTATCTATGGATATGACCCTTTTATTCTCTCTCTCGACATAAAACAAATCCGATGGACGATAGCTCTTGGTAGTACTGCTTTGAGTTAGTCAGAACCACATGTGTATACAGCCTCACTTTTGACCAATCCCGTGGCTGCATTCAGGTCCTTTTGTCGCCATGGCCGAGACACAGCTGCCGCGGTGCGTCGTGTGCTCCATAGACATGACGCCGTGGAGTGTCGCGGACCGCGAGACACACGTGAATGAGTGTCTAGATGAAGCGACCATTGACCAGCGATATGACTGTCCCACTTGTGGCGAAGAGCTCTCACACTGCGACGAACGCCAGCGCTTGGAGCACGTGAACCGCTGTCTGGACAGAAAAGAGACGTATGACAGCGATATGAGCGTGCATAAACACGATAAAGCTGTTGGAGAAGAAGAGGAAGACGGGGCAGAGGCGCAAGAGGAGGTGCAGCTGACACAGGTGGCGCAGTTGACGCAGGGGGAGGCAGAGACAAGCGACAGCGCGTACTTTGAAGCCAATTACGTATGCAAAATCTGCGGTATCGACATGTCCAGCGTCGATCTGGTGCACCGCATTCGTCACGTGAAGTTGTGTGGCCAGAAGTTTGGTGTGAGAGCTGCTGATATGGCAGAGGTGGAGCAGACAGAGACGATTGTGGCGAGACTGGACGAGAAGGACGCGTCGAACGCGTTTATGGTCATGATGCAGTCGGCAGCTGGAAAAGCAACAGCAGAGACCGCTTCGATGGGTATGTGTGTGGCAAGTGTGTTGCTGCAGTCAGTGCATGTCCTGACTAGACGGGGTTCTGTCTCTCGTGGATACGTGCAGAGAGATCGAACGTCTTTGACGTCCTGATGCGAGGCTCCAAAACGGCTGCTGTGCTCAACGCTAGGAAACGTCCCGTGCCTGTCAAATTTACTCGCAAAGCAGTGCAACGACGCCGCCTGTTGTACCCTGATTACAAGTGTATCCAAGGAACGAGCCCGCCTTTCATCGTCGACGGGTTCCACTACGCTTGCAAACAACACTCTAGCATCTACTTCCTCACACACTTTCACTCTGATCACTACGGTGGAATCACCAAGGTGGGTCGTGCCATAATTGTGCGGTCTGCGTGATTCTAATCTTACGCGTTGGTACGGTAGGACTTTGACTGCGGTATCATTTACTGCAATGAAATTACTGCCAAGCTTGTGGTTCAAGAGCTGGGTGTCCATAGCAAATACGTCCATCCAGTGGGGATGAACATACCTGTGCTTGTCGGTAACGTGCAAGTTACTTTCATGGATGCCAACCATTGTCCTGGTGCAGCCATCATTTTATTTCGCTTGAAAGACGGTAAAACATATCTACACACTGGAGATTTTCGATTTTACAGGAAAATGCTAAACTATGCTGCATTGCAGCCACACATTCCGACGGGCGATGAAGCAATTGATCATAACGGTAAAATTGTTGGCATCAATCGTCTGGATGGTGTGTATCTGGATACAACCTACTGCAATCCAAAGTACACGTTTCCGACTCAGCAAGCGGCCATTAAACACGCACTCGAGCTCATGGACGATCACTGGAAGCAGGAAAAGGTGCTTTATCTGTTTGGATCGTATACAATTGGCAAAGAGCGCATGTTCATGGAGATTGCACGCAAGTTTCGAAAGAAAGTATGTGTCTCGAAAGCGAAGTTGAGAATTATTGAAACCTTTGACTGGCCTCGTGAAGAGATGCAACTGCTGACGACAGAATCGGCTGCGACCAAGTACGACATACATTGATATGGAACGCCTTTTGATGACGACGACAGCTGCTAACATGCTGTTTCGGTGGCAAACATTGACAGCTTGCACGTTGTACGCATGCAGGATCTTAAAATGGACAATTTGACGGTGTTGCTAGCAAAGCATCGTCTACGGTACCGGTCCATTGTGGCATTCCGCCCCACCGGGTGGACGTTCAGCAGCAAGAATCCGCGGAAAATGTCGACCTGTTGTTCCAATCCTACAGGCAAGATTCACGTCTACGGCATTCCCTACAGCGAGCACTCGAGTTTTGCCGAGCTCTGCGACTTTGTCAAAGTGGTGAACCCTCGTGCAATCATTCCAACGGTAGGCTGCTCGTTGTTTGTCATAGCTACCACTTTCGTTGACGTGTGCTTGGATTGTTGTTGCGTCATAGGTGAACTGCAGCAACAAGCGAAATGCGACCAAGCAGGTCAATGCGTTGCGGCAGGTCGCTTTTCACAATATTTCAGCGCTATTCAAGCAGCAGCACCAGCAGATCAAGCAACAACTGAAAACAAGTTGAAGAAGCAAGGGTAAAAGGTTGAACCGCGTACATTGGTGAGGAGCAAACGTGCGATTTAGAAGGACCACGACGTGTTGATTAGCACATTCGGGACACATTTCTGCCAAGTAGCCGCCGTCTGCAGTAGCAGCTGTATGCTCGTATACTTTCCCATTCGTATACAATGCTGTAATCATTTCCATGCACGTGTAGACGAAAAGGATCTTACATGCACACAAGAAAACGTAATCCTCGGGTAGTAAAAATTCAGTTTAGAACAGGACATATCGACGTCATTTCAAAAGACCTACGTAACCTATTTCGCTTGATCGTGATTCGAGCACATCTCTGACGAATCAAAACAGCACTTGGCGTTATGTAGAGCTACATACTCTATAGTGTATCTGCTCCCCCTTATCGAGTAGCTCTATCCGGACAATACACCCGACAAACCTTTGGCGGTTCGTTCAGCCGGAATATTCAGGTAAGTACGAACTACCGGTTCAAACCGAGCCCGCATCCTGCGTATCGTCCGTCGGCCACATCTGAACCTCTCCAACTGAATAAGTTCACCAGGATGCCATGGCCCGTACGTAGGACGACGAGTTCAGACCTGACAACAGCGCGACTATACAAAAATCAACTGCGTAGGACCACGCTCTCTTCGTCAATCAGGATCCCGTCGTCTCCGCACTTCCAAGCACAACGTTGTACGCTAAGCAGACAGGAGCACAGCTAGTAAGCAGCAACGCAATACAACGGCCAGCTCGTTCTAGACAAAGCTCGATTCCAGAAAGCAAGAGACAGGAAGACCCTAGAGGGGCCCCCCCCCCCCCCCCCCCCCCCGGGCCCCCCCCATTCCTGAGAATAGTCCACCCCATTCGGCGCCCAAATCGCTACGGCAGAGCAACTAGGAACTACATTCGCGATCGCGGGTGACGGTAGTGCTGCATTTCTTTGGGCAGGGACGTCGAGACGAGGTCTTCCAGACTGTGGATGCCGTACTTGTTGGGGGGCTCCAGTACGCCACAGCTCACGGGCGTTCAGTTGACCGTCAGGATTCAGAAATTCCACACCCATATGCTGTTGGTGCCAGCGGATCATGAAGTCAATTCGAGGCGTGGGAAAGTTGCCTAGCATCTCCGCCATGTTCTTGAGGATGCATAGGCCGTATGGAATATCCTCCCAGAACAGACGCGAGTTAACGGCTGGATGGAAGGCCCCCCTTGGACACTTCCGTCAAGGGCGTTGCGCATCCGGCGTAGCCTAAATTCGTGCGAAAAATCTGCAACAGCGACGAACGATCGGACACATCCTTGCCGTAGTGCTTGACCACACGGTCTCCCATAGGCAGCACGTCCGAAAGGTCGAGCGCCGGAAAACGATGTAGTAAAGCAGACTTAACTTGCTGCAACTCGTTGTCTAGCATTGTCAGCTGCTCCGCAGAGAACTCGTCAAAGTCCGCATCTAGAGTCAACAGTTGATGGTATCACGTCGTTTTGTTCAAGAGTGAAGCAGCAGTCAAGGAAGGACAAGAAGGTAGAGCAGGTACAACGTACAAAGTGTGAGGCCGTTGCGCTTCTCAAGCTCCTCGAGCGTGTAAGTCTTCTTACCATCCCAGTCACGGAATATCGCGTAATAGCGAGCCGGATGGATGATCTGGTTCGACGACGTGAGCGTCAAGTTCAGAAAGTTGGCCACGGTCTTGCACGGAATGTCAAACAGCGTCTGCACGAGCGTCGCAGCTTCTGCTTTGCGCTCGACGGGGTAGCAAGCCACGTACAGACACTGCTTGGGTCCAATGATGCGGCACTTGTGGCTACAGACGCAGCTCACACACGCGTTAGCACATGGTCAAGCTCACGCACGCACACACAGAGGTGATCCACCAAGTAGTTTTTCGAGCTGCTCACCCGTATTTTGTCGACTTGCAGATCCATGGGATGTTTTGCAGACCAAAGAGCTGCAGGAACAAGCAACAAAGAGAATGATGAAGCGACACCCGGGACGGTGACCACAGCAACAAACTCAAGTCAGTTCGTGGCCAAGGCAGCTTCTAAAGCAGCTCGTGTCTTCCGTACCAGATCGACATTGGCAAGTCGGTCTTCTCCGAGCGCCTTCTGCACGGCCCAGTCAAAGCCACCTTGGGCAAAGAGCGCGCCCAGTTTGACCCCCTTTTTGAGGTACGGCGCCACGTGCTCCAGGATCAATGGGTGGACATTGGCAGGTGCCGCGAGAATGACGACGTCGGACTGAGGCACGACGTGCTTGGCGTGCTTGGACACGAGGCTCAGGCGACCCGTGATCGTGCCTTTGGGTTCCCAACTGCTGCCGGTCGTGCTGAGCTCCAGCGTCTGAGACCAGCGTTGCGGCTGGCGCGTTAGCACTTGCACACGTACGCCTTTGAAAGCCAAGTAGACGGCTGCCACGTGTGCGCCATTACCGCCACCGCAGATCGTGACGATGCCTACAGCCAGCAGGTGAGGCGACGTGCTGGTCATGCTCGCTTTGGATGGTGAGCGTCATGGCAGAATTGGGTGGAGGAGAAGAGAGGAGAGAGTGTCACGGTGAGAGACACAGGCGAGTAGTGAGCTCGTGCCAATGTGGTGGTGCTAACTATAGGCTGCAGTGGGCTTTGCACGCTGTATTTTATTGCTCATCGGAGTGGCACCGAGTGTCCTGCGGTCCAAGTCGATGGTGATGTCTGGGACGGACAAGAACGAAAACTAGTGGAGCAGCTCGGACGCCTGCTGGTGTGTCTCGGCCGTCACGCGGATGGCAAACAGTTCGTTGAACTCATCCTTGCTAAAGGCAAAAGCCACTGCCTTGTCAATCTGCTCAATGGCGCGAGAATACTCCTGCATTGCCATGTATACCTGAGCAAGATGGCAGTATGCAAACTTCGAACGAGGACACATCTCCACAGCCTTCTCGAACAGACCGAGCGCCTGGCGACCGTACTCTGCGCCCTTTTGGACCAACAAGTTACCCTGATTAATGTATGCCATCGGGTACGATGGGTCCAGCTCGATCGCTTTCTCAAACATTTCCTCCACAGTCTTCAAATCAACACTACTGCCGGGGGTCTGTAGCATCTGCATGTATGTCTCCCCCATGTAATTGTAAATTTCCGGCACATCGGGTGTAATGCGGGCTGCTGTCGTGAGGTAGTCAACAGCGCCTTGGAAATTACCGTTTCGCGCGTGCGTGACACCCAATTGAATGTAGGCCATGGCAAAATCCGGTGCAAGACTGATGCAGGTTTCCAAGTCGCTAAGGGCCGCGGCCATCGACTCTTCGTTACTGGTTCCATCTGGTGATACGTCAATAGAATGAAGCTGGCCACGGTGAAAGTAGGCCGTAGAGCATTCTGACTTCTCAGCCAAAGCCTTGTCAAACCAATCAAGCGCCGTCTTCAGGTCTTTTTGATCAAAACAAAGACCACCCATGCGAATTTTCGCAAAAATGGAGTGGGGTTTGGCATCAAGGGCCTTTTTGAATGACTTACGAGCAAGCTCAAACTCGCCACGAAGGTGATGGTACGTTCCGTTCTCAATCTGGGCCGTATAATAAGCTTTGTCTTCAGGGCGAACGATCTTACAGGCAGCGGCCAGGTCCTTGGCAGCCATGTCATAGTCTTTCTCTTTCTTCAATGCAAGTCCCCGCTTCGTCAGTAGTAAACAACGCTGCGAACGAGAGTCCTCGTCTGCTGTTCCCAAAGCCTCCAGCTCTGCCGTGTACTCCTCGGACGATTTCTCCGGCACCACATCGTTTTCGTCGTCACTCGAATGAAATGATGAGTAGTACGACGTCACAAAGAACTGGTCGGGCAAATAGCGCACAGGGTTCTGCTTGTTCTGCTGTGCATCCTCGATCTCCTTCACGGTAATGTCATTATGAATGCGGCTGATCTCCTGAGCCAAGGTCTCGTCCACTTGTTCCTGTCTCTCCTCTGCAATCACCAAGAGACAGACGTAGTCCACAAGGGAGCCACGCAGATCTCCCAGAGCAGCTTTCGCCTTTGCTCGACGCATGTACGACTTGGTGTGTCGGTTGTCCAGCTGCAGCGCCTTCGCACAGTCCCCAATGACGTTCGTATAGTCCTGGAGCTTCTCGTACGCAGCTGCACGGTTCGAGTACATGACTTTGAGGTTGCGCGCATCCAGCGGCTGCTGCTGTTCGCCGAGGGAGATGGCGACAGAGTAGAGCTCAATAGCTTGGTCAAAGTCCCCGGCCTTGTACTTCTTGGTAGCTAAAGTGGCTTCGGCCTCGCCCAAGTTCACGACCGGTGGCAGCTCAGGAGGAGGAGGGGGGAGGGGGGACACCTCTGTCTGGGACACTAGAGACGGCCTCTCACGCGTGACTTCCACTTCCTTCGACTGCTTGACATGGTCCAGCGACTGCTGCTTGAGCTGCTGCAGCTGCTGGCGGTGGTGGTGACGTTTCCGGAAGAGCCCAACGGCCACAAAGGCGCTGATGGTGGCGAGCGACGCCAAGACCGCGAGCTGGACGAGCGCTCGCTGCTCCATGTCTCGACTGGAACCTACTGAAGCGATTGTTGGCACGCGCTGCGTCACGACGTTGCGGGGAGGTCGTAAAAAGAACTCGGAGGCGTAAATACGAGGGTGCGAGCGACGTGTCAACTTATACGAACACGATAGGGTGACCTCTGCAGTGGCATCATTGGAGAAAGCGAATTGTTGCCCAAATTATGGGTCCATCGCTGTGTGGGAGTGTTCTTTTTTTGACCACCAACGGGTGGCTACGCCGTATTGATTGACTGGTTAACAAGCGTCGAAAGGTGTTTGGGGTGCACTACGCTCAGTATTGAATTGTTTCCGTGCAGTGATCCATCGGTCGTGAGCAAGGGCATTCCAACTACCGACCGCTATCATGTCCGACGTTGCTGCTGTGAACCCCAAAGCGTACCCGCTCGCGGACGCCAAGTTGACGGTGTCCATCCTGGACTTGGTGCAACAAGCCACCAACTACAAGCAGATTAAGAAGGGTGCTAATGAAGCCACCAAGACACTAAATCGCGGTATTTCCGAATTTATTGTCATGGCTGCTGACACGGAGCCCCTGGAAATTCTGCTACACCTTCCGCTGCTATGTGAAGACAAGAATGTACCATACGTGTTTGTGCCTTCCAAGGTCGCCCTGGGCCGTGCTTGCGGAGTGTCGCGCCCCGTGATCGCGGCTTCAATTACGTCCAACGATGCCTCGCAGCTAGGACCGCAGATTCAGAGCATGCGCGAGCAGATCGAGCAACTCCTAATTTAAGCGCTCCCTTCTGATTGCCGGCCCCTTCTCTGCGGTCCTCGCCGACGTAGTGGTGTGCTTCTAGCACATAGATAACTGCTCATATGCAGACTCAATGCCACTCGTTTTGCATCAGTTTTCTCGATATCATTATGTGTGTCATTCCATTTGCTGCTGTCTGCGTCGTACTGTCCAGCTAGGCGGCCAGCATGAGCACGTACTCACGAGTGCTTTCGCCGAATCTCAGCACATCCTTCTCCTTGAGCTCTATATACCGCGAGCCTTCAATTTCGCGGCCGTTGAGGAAGGTCGAGTTGGTGCTGTTGAGGTCCATGATGTAAGGCCGCACTTCCTGCTCGAAGCCCAGACCGTCCGCTGTTGGTTTCTGGTACATGCGGTACTGCAGCACTGCATGCTGTTTCGAACACGACGGATGTTCTGTCAAAATGTCGGCCACGGCCTTGTCACGTCCAATCAGGAACACACTCTTGCGGTGCACATGAAGCGTCGCTGCCTCAACACACAGACACCACGAGTCAGCAGCAACCACACGTCCAACACCCGCCCCATCCAGCCACAAAAACATCAAAGCTGCCAGCAACGCACCAATGTTCTTGTCGCCCTTGAACACGTACAACCGGTAGCGTCTCGTCGGCTGTCGAGCTTCAGAAGGCTCAGAGAACTTCAGCACGACGCCATTCTGCATGTTCCCCGTCGTCTGGTCCTTGGCCAGCGCGCCCGTGAGTCCAAAGTTCGGCTTCTCCACCTCCACCAGCTCCTCTTCCTCCTCCCCCTTCCCGTCCTTCTCCTCCTGCTTTCCCCATCTAAGATGCACAAAGACGTCCATACAAACCCTCAGCCTTCCTTCAGATCACACATACAAAGAGCCGCACTACCCAGCGTCTTGTCGTTCCACATGTCGCAGGAACCGCAACAACGTACTCGACTAAGTGCGAAAAGTCGCGCGTCTTCTTGTCCCCGTGGCGCGCTTGACTCGGCGGTGAGCGCGTCCGCGGTCGCAGTCGCTGCCTCTTCTGCTCGCGTCGTTCGCCTTCCTGTGGCAGAGAGCGGGAGCGCGACCGTCGTCTCGTCTGCTGCCGCCCGCGATCGCGAGCCGTCCGACGCTCGGGAGACCTCCGACGACGATGCTCGGACATGGGTACAACTGCAACTAACCCTCTCAAAATTGATTGCTGCTCCCTCTCATTTCGAATCATGACAACCCCCGCCCCCAATGGCGACGAGTCGGGCGTAGCGTCCACAGACGAGACGCCCCTCGCGCTGCTGTTTGAGCAGCAGCGACTGCAAGACGCAATGGAAGCGATGCAAACGTGGGACGCGGGCAAAGTGCAGACGGAGATCGCGCTGGCCTTCGCCTCGGTGGCCCACGCGCCGTCGGCGTTCCTCCAGTGTCTCCAGCTGTACAGGGAGCTCCCTGATAAGCACGTGGCGTCCGTCTCGCACTGGATTTCAGCTGCCGTCGCGTGTCTCCAAGCTCCTAATAGCAGCAATAAGAGTGCGGGAACCTCACGGATCTCACTGAGCGACAGGCAAGTTGCTGCGTTGATGCTGCCAGCGCTCCAGCGCTCACGCGTGCCGTTCGTGGCCGACTTTGCACTCGCTTTTCAAGTGGATACCGAAGCGCTGGCTGCTTTCTGCTCCCAGCTGCTGCTACCAAAAAGTGTGGGGACGGCTGTCCGCTTTATGGAGTGCCTCAAGATGAAGGATCTCGTGTCGGCGGACGTGGTGCTGCATCAGGTGGTCAAGCAGCAGGACTTTCGGACGGGCGACGTGTTTGTCAAAGGCTGTCGAGAGAAACAAGAGCACTTTGTGCAATTGCTCATTGATGCCAACGTGCATGATAAAGTGATCAAGAAACGCCTCTCGCTGTTCAAGCTGCCGGTGAGTGCTTTTCCAGCATACTTTGAACGGTACGGCGTTATGCTAAGTGAGTTGAAGTGCTCAAGTGAGTTGAAGATCTCAAGTGACAGTGCGCTTGTGATGTGTTGTTTTCTTCTCATAGGCGACAGACAGCGACACTGAGGTTTCTAATGCACTCGAAAGAGTACGAGCAAGCGCTGCAGTTTGTCGAGAACTTGGACTGGCTGAAGTTATACGCCTGCAAAATGATCATGCGTCACGTTGGACCGGAAGACCCAGCTACCAAGCAGTTCATTTTCCGCACAGGATTCGCCGACCAGTTTCCCGAAGTCGACACAAGTGCCGAGGAGGGCATGCAGTTTAAGAATCATGACGAGCCGACTCCACTTGACTCGTGTCTGTCGCTCGCTGACACCATTGGTGAAGCCAATATTGTTTTTGTAGATACCCCGCTCGCGCTGCAGGCATGTACTGATTATCTCCTTATGCAGCCAGCTATTGGATTTGATTCAGAGTGGAAAGCGGTGCATGTTTCGACTGGCCCGCACGATAGCGCTGCAAAGTGTGCGCTCCTGCAGCTAGCTTCCCGTGAAAAGGCGTTTGTCGTGGACGTGGTGGCGCTGTTCGATCACGGACATATCTTAGCCCCGCTCTTTCGGTCGGAATCGGTGCTCAAGATCGGGTTTGATACACGAGGCGATGTGAAGGCACTACGTCCTTTTTTGACGGGAGGGTACGTGGCTGACAACATCATGTCGATGCTCGTGGATTTACAAACGGTCACGCGAAAGCTGCCAATCCTCCAGTGTGGCGATGACTCAGAAGCCATATCGGCGGCCGACGATAATAACGACACGTCCAGTAAAGAAGAAGTGCCAGCAGCTCAAAACACCGACAGCGAAGTGTCGGGAGCCAAGTCGAAACAAAGAAAGTGGCAGAAAAAGCGAAGCAAAACTGGCGAAAACGATACCGTTGTCAAACCTTCCCGCCTGGGCCTGGCAGCCGTCGCCAAAAGCTATCTGGGTTTCTCCTTGGACAAGCGCGTGCGTATGTCCAATTGGGAACGCCGCCCACTCACGCAAGCTCAGCTGCATTACGCTGCGTTGGATGCGCACGTGCTGGTTCAGATCTACTTCAAGATGGGGGAGAAGCATCCGGCTGACACGTTGGAGGCAGTCTTGAAACGCTGCACGCAAAAGCATGTCAAGTAGGTGGGTAAAGTGGTCCAGCTGGTTCGTGAAACTTCATCTTGCCCGCCATGTCGCTAACACACATACGGTCACATTGTGCTTGACAGCATCGACCGGGCTCTTGTAAATAACACTGTCAACACATGCTGAGTATTGACACTAACCACTTACGCCAAGGCTCGACTACAGAAAATGGCAAATTGCTATACCTCGAACGCCCATTACCGTAACGAGGTGCAAAACATTCAGGCGTGAGCTGAAGTTCTCTATTGGCTCATGTAGGTTGCCAGGACGTCTGCAAAGTCAGCCCGGCTATCGTTATCCATGCTGAAAAGATGCTGTTGTAGAGCCTCGGGTAGCGCTGTCACCTTTAAGAAAATATCGGTAAGCTTCTTTTGAAGCTCATCTTTTTCCTGCAAGTAGTACGGCAGAACAAGCACGACAAGAAACACTTCGTAAGTGACTCTTCTATCTGGAGGCAATCGTGATTGTACCTCACCTCACTGGTCTTGCGAACCTGTTGCGTCATGTCGTGCAGCTCACCCTCGACGCGAAACGTCTTCTCTCCAAGTTCAACCTGAAGCTCCGCTATCTTCTCATTCAGCATCTTTTCGTTTTCTTCAGCACTCTTGACTGTCGATGCGAGTGTTTCTACGAGCTCGGTACGATTTGCCATCTCGCGATGTACTGCATCTTTCAGGTCACCCACAGTCGTCGCAAACACTTCCTTTTGGGTTATTGCATCCTGCCGGGCATGTTCCAGTACAATCGCCTTTTCCTGAAGCTCAGCATTCTGACGTTTCATCTCGTTCACCTCGTCTCGAAGCTGCTTGACCTCACTCCCACCGATGTTGACACGAGCCGTCTTGGCTTCGCACATCTTTTGCATCGTCTCCATATCTTGCGCCACTCGCACGCGCAACTGTGCTTCCTCTTTCCTAAAGTGCTCCACAAGAGCCTCCTTCTTGTCTGTGAAATCCTGTTCGAGCTGTAGCCGCAACCCTTTCAGACGGGACTCACTGAGCTGCCGCGTCACGACAACTTCAAGCTCTTGAAAGGCCTGAATTACCTCCTGCTGGTAGAAGTCGCGTAACACAGAAGCTTTTTCTGGACCTCGTGCCCTCTCATCATACTGCTTGTCAAAGTCTTGAATTGCAGCTAACATGGCGGGAAACGATTCGCTATCTCGCGCATGGGCAAAGAGCTCTGTCCAGAGAGTCTGTCGGACCTCTTCGCAAAATTCCCGCGACTTCTCGGTGAGGACACCTAATTCGGTCTCGTAGCACGTGTGAATGTCATTCTTAAGCTTGTGGCGCACTTGACGATGCCTTGCGGATTTATACTTGCTAGCAGAACAGTAAACGTCCATACTCAGACGCCAAATCTCGTCATGCAATTGCTTGAACGCGTTTAGCTCCATGGGCGGATGCTCTAACACGCACGGGCGCACGCAATCCTCATAAGTCCTTAGTGCATCCTTCGCCACATCCCGACACTTTTCTTCCACAAAGTCGTCCCAGGCAGTTCCAAAGTCGATAGGATCTTGACCAGACACCTGAACTGACAGCTTGCAAAGTAGGGAAGCCAGCATCTCCCCCGTCAGATCTAGCCCAAACAACTTCTTCACCGCAACGTATGAGTTACAAAACTCGTCGAAGTCCATCTCTGCAATGCTTTGAGGATACAATACCCCGACTCTCTTTAGCCGAACAAGACTCGCAAGTGCTTCAACACTATCCAAGCTCTCCTCCTCTTCTGCTGCGAGCGAGTGACTAGGAGATAGGTCAATGTGCAGCATCTTGGGCAGTATCTCAGACACTTCCACTGTCGTAAAGTCCTTGACCAGAGTCTGGAAAAGTGACTGGAACGGAGGCAGAAACGGAGCGAGGCACTGCATCGACACGGACTCGTCATAGCACGACACAACGAGCGACGACAGAGCACAGAACGCGCCAGTGAGTGGTCCAAAGTCCGCATCAATCTCCAGCACGTTGAAACTCAGTATCAGCACTTGAAAATCACGTTCAATGCACGTGACACTCGCCAGCAGCACGAGCCCATCGCCGTCACTTGAGACTCCGACATTTCCTGTAATTTCCAGCTGTTGATCGTCACTATCCAGCTGTTTATCGTCACTATCCAGCAATTTATCGTCAATATCCCGCAATTTGTCGTCAAAATCCCGCAATTTATCGTCGGAATCCAGCAATTTATCGTCGGGATCCAGCAGTTTGGCGATTAATTTGCACCGCACGGCGCAAGTCGATGGCGGGCCTAGAAACGAGACAATCGCGAGTCGCTCTTGGTCCAGTTCCTGCTCCAAGAGACGCTCGCCATCGGCCGTTAGCGAGCCAAATGCATCGACGAGCACGACATTTCGCCGAACGGGCTCCATCCTGTTCACTCGCTAAGTGCGGTTGCTGCTTTAAGTACGTGTGCTCATTTCGCCGATGCGGTTTCAAAGTCGATGTCGCAAGTGCCCAAAAACGCAACATGGCTACACTTCATTTAGTCGGAATCTATGCATGTCTCGCTTTGTTCCTCGTCACGACACTCTTGCTCGCTCGTGATCGCAGACCCAGCAGCAACTGTAGACGCAATCGACACGCCCAGAGCTCGCACATCGCTCTTCTCCAGCCTCTCCATGAGTTCCGTCGTGTTGAAGGTAAACGCCACAGGACTCCACTTGCTCTCGATCAAAGGTGCATCCGACGCCCCACGCTACAACCGCATAGTTATCATCAACAGCAGCAGCAGCAGCAGTCCAGTCATTGACCTGTTCATCAATCCCCATCCCTCTCTCTCTCTCTCAACCACTTATCCCTCCCAGTCCAGCAACAGTCCGCACCTTGATCGAGAAAGACCGCAACAAACTCGTAACACTCGGGCTCGAATTCAGCAACACGCCAGCACTGCGACTCGCGCTCTCCGTTCGCTTCTCCAGCTCCCGCGTGGTTTCCAGCATCCGACCCACAAAGCGCTGCGTACCGAAACACACACACACGCACCCATCAACCTCTCTCAAAACTCCACCCCATCACCATCATCATTGCTTCTATTGCTATTGCAATGTCACCTCAATAACATTCAAGCGCAAGAAGATCTCTTCCAGCTCGTAGCAATTGCTCAACAGCTGGTCCAGTAGCTGCTCCTGGATCTGCTGCGCTTCCTGTCGCAGTTCGTCAGCAACCGCGCACGCCTCGTCGATCTTGAACAGCGCCAGGCCAATGCGCTCATCGGTCGCATAAGTCGCATGCGCCGCCTCTTCCAGCAGCTCCTCGTAGTCGCCACACAGCGTCTGGAACGCGAGCTTCAAGTTGCCGGTGTGGTCATCCTTATGATAGTCCATGGCTGACAAAGTGGGTCTCCAGTAAACGACATGTCATCCTCGATCGAGTGACATGTACCCCTATCCATGTGTATCCATCCTGTTGACTGGCTCCGCTCTATCCAACCTACCGGAGCTCTTCGTCGCGACTCGAACTCACTGCCCCGTCACTCATGACGGACTCGACGAATGGTCCACGAGACGTCACGGCGGACCGGAAGAAAGCGTGGGAATCTTCCTCGGATTTTGCCAACTACTTTTGCACGTACGCGTATATTTACCACCAAAAACAAATGCTATCGGATGATTTGCGTATGCAGAGCTACCGGGACGCGATTTTCCTCAACCCGAACCATTTCCAGGATAAAGTCGTGCTGGACGTGGGGACAGGAAGCGGCATCCTGGCCATCTGGGCAGCTCAAGCGGGTGCTCGACGGGTGTTTGCTGTGGAGGCGACGGATATTGCAGTGCAGGCTCGCAAGGTAATCAAAGCAAATGGACAGGACCACATTGTAACTGTCATTCAATCCAAGATAGAAGACGTGGAGCTCCCAGAGAAGGTGGACGTCATTATCTCTGAGTGGATGGGCTACTTTCTCCTGCGCGAGTCCATGTTCGACTCGGTTCTTGTCGCGCGTGACCGCTGGCTCAAGGCAGACGGCGCCATGTTTCCATCCCATGCCAGCATGTCAATCGCTCCCATGTGCAATGAGGACAACAGCAATAAGCGCTTTGCTGAGTTCTCATCCGCTATGGACAGATGGCGCAGCTTTGTGGACAACACTAAGGCGGCCTGGGGCGTAGACATGGGTGTGCTGGGCAACGCCTTTCGTAAAGAGCAGGAGCAGTACTCGCTGCATACTTCGTCGTGGGAGGAGCTTAACGCCAAAGACCTCATTGGAGACGAAAATGAGTTTGCCAAATGGGACCTCAAGAACTGCACCCTCGACGACATTAAAGAAATCAAGGCGTCCTTCTCCATGCCCATCTCTATTATGTCCCGCTTTGGTGGCATCGCTGGGTGGTTTGATGTTGACTTCAAGGGCTGTGTGGAGAATCCGGCAATGAAGGAGGTGACGCTCACTACATCGCCGTTCGTGCAGCCCACGCACTGGGGTCAGCAGGTTTTTCCACTTTACCCGCCCGTTCAGGTGTGCGAAGGTGACGTGGTGATAGGCGACATTGCCGTCATGCGTCGTGCGGACAACCAACGCCTCATGAATGTCAAGTTTGACTTCCGTATCCATCGCCCGGACGATGGCGACGAGAGGAGCACGGCGTCCCCACTCAACTCGGCCGTCTTCCAGATTGAATAAGCATCCACGTAGTAAACTCCATCCTTTGCATTGCCACCTCGGCAGCAGCAGTCGCAGCGTCCACATTCCCTCGTCCGATCCTTGTTGTTTAACCTCGCAGTGTGTCCGAACCTTCGCACTTGACTCGATGGCGTCGTCGACGTTGTTCGACCGGGAGCTGCATGCCCAGTACTTCCTCACCAACCTGCGCTCGCTGCCAGCTCCGTACTCGTCTCAGGACTCACAGCGCGTGGTCTTGGCCTTCTTTTGTATTCACGGACTGGCGTTGCTAGGGGAATTAGAGCGCGTGGATCGACACCAGGTCATTGAGTGGGTGTATAGCCTCCAGGTGTCTCTAGACGACCACGACGTCCATGCCAGCAACGGCGGCTTTCGAGGCGGACCCTGCATCGGGAACGCCTCCATCTGTCCGAACGGATCCACGTACGACACGAGCAACGTCGCGTCCACGTTCGCGGCGCTCTGCATCCTCCGCACACTCGGGGACGATCTCCACCGCGTGGACAAACCCGCGATCGTACGTGCGCTCACGTCTCTCCAGGATGACACAACGGGATGGTACGTCTCATTCTGCCAAAGGAAGAAGACCAAGGCTGGAGGAGGCACCTGAACTGCGACTCACTCCTTCCCTGTCCGGTTCCTTCGTGTCTGTAGCTTCTCGTCCGTGAATGAGGGATCGGAGCAAGATATGCGCTTTGTTTACTGCGCATGTGCCATTTCCTATATTCTGGACGACTGGTCTGGCATTGACTTGACGGCGATGGTGCGCTTCATTAACTCGTGTCTGGTACGTCTTGCTCTTGATGCAGCAGTGCATCAAGTCTCCTCCCTCTTCTTCTGATGCTGGTGTTGATGCTGCTGCAGAGTTATGATGGAGGCATTGGCCTCTGTGCTGGCGCCGAGTCGCACGGGGGTGCCGTGTTCACTGCCATTGCGTCGCTGACCTTGTCGGGGCAATTGCCGCAGCTCAAGTGCAAGCAGTCGGAGCTCGTGCAGTGGCTCGTGTTCCGACAGCAAGACTGCGGCGGGTTCCAAGGACGGCTCAACAAGGTCCCGGACTCGTGCTACGCTTTCTGGAACGGCGCGACGCTTGCGCTGCTCCAGAAGCACGCGCTCGTGGACTCGCCGAGCTGTCGGCAGTTCATCTACGCGTGTCAATTCTCCTTCGGGGGCCTGTGCAAGTACCCCGAGTCAGTCCCGGACGTGATGCATTCGTACCTCAGTCTCGCGTGGCTCAGCATCGCAGCACACACAGACCCCGACAGGACTCGAGGTGACGAGGAAGAGGGCGAGTACCCGCCATTGGCACCACTAGACACGAAGCTCCAAGTGCCGTTCTTCCCAGTGCTACTGAGCGAGTCCACCGAGCCCGAGCCAAGACAGGAACGAACGACGACGCAGCAGCAGTAAACAACAAGAAAAGGAGGAGGAAGATGCTGTAGCTGTGGCTGTTGCAGTTGCAATGATGGCATTCAAGTCGGCGAGCAAGCGTCGAGCGCCACGGGACTTCCCCCGTCCGCTTGCTCCACTCCTATGCACCTTTGCCTTGCATCCTGCACCGCCCTCCTACGTCAAAATGTCCACGCCATCTTCCGTGATCAACACCGTGTGTTCCGCTTGTGCCGCTCGTCCGCCATCGGCCGTCGCGACCGTCCAGCCGTCGTCCCAGCGCACCACCTAGCACCACGCATCCCAACCACATGACCACCCGAATGAGTCTTTGCTCGCCCCTATGAACCCACCCCTCTCCATCCTTGCACCAAGCCAAGCTACACCTCTCTCTCTATGCACGCATCACGCCAAGCTACACCTCACCTCTGGACTCCCTTCGGTCAATGCCGGCTCAATTGTGAACGCCATCCCAGGTTGCATCGTACCCGGTTCGTCGTTGCGGTGGTGCAAGACGAACGGGAGACAATGGAACTCCTCGCCAATGCCGTGCCCCGTGTACTCCTGCACGACTCCAAGGGCTTCAGCGTCCGCGAGCGCGTGCACGTAGTCCCCGATCGCACTAAAGCGGTTCCGGGGCTTGCAGCCGTGCTGGATAGCGCCCTCAAGCGCTCGGTTCGTCACGTCTACAAGGTGCTGCCCCTTGTCGTCCACGTCTCCGACAAGGAACGTCTGCGACGTATCGCCATGGAACCCGTGCAGAAACACCGAGATGTCGATGTTCACGAGGTCCCCGTCCACGAGGCGGCGGGTGTCCGGGATGCCGTGCACGACGATCTCGTTCACGGACGAGCAGAGCGACTTGGGGAAGCCGCCGTAGTGCAAAGGCGACGGGTACGCGCCATAACGCACGATCTCTTCGTGCACGAGGCGGTCGATGTCGTCCGTCGTCGCTCCTGGTTGACACAGCGGGCGGGCGAACTCGCGGATGGCTCCAGCCAACGCACAAGCCGCGCGCAGTCGTGTCTGCTGCTCGGCATCGAGGAGCGGGATGAACGGTGGGGCGTCCGACATGCAGCCGCTTGCGGCGTACGACGGACGCGAAATGTGCGCGGGAACGGACCGCGAAGGCGTCTGACGCCCGGGCGTCACGCGTGGACGACTGGAGGAGAAGAACGAGCGACGCATTGGGTGGTGGCGGGAGGTTGGCGAGAAGGAGAGTGAGGAGAGGAGGAGGGACAAGAGGAGAAGAGAGGAGGGGAGAGAGGGGTCTGTCTTTAGAGGGATGAGTTTGGGACGTCGTCGTGTCGACTACTTCTTGTGGAGTTGGCGCGTGCGGGCGAGCACCCGCGCGAGCAGAGGCGTCGCGGCGATGGTGAGCGCCCCTCGGACGGGACCGGTGGCTAAGGTGGAGAGGTACGCGAGGGCGAGCGTGCCGGCGTCCGGGTCCAGCTTGGTCAGGTCTACGAACGGCACGTGCTTGGCGAGCGCCTGCAGATCGACGCCGTGGCTGATGGCCACGTAGGAGCTGGCGAGGGTCGAGACGAAGACGGTCGAGTGGAAGAAGAAGGCGGTGCGCCCGTGGCGCTTGAGAACTTGCTTGGCGCGTTGGGTGTTGCTAGCCATGACCGGGGGAGACACAGAAAGAGTGAGCGACGGAGTGAGCGACGGAGGTGGTAACTTGTCGACTGGTTCAGGCTCGACGCGAGAATGAAGTTGAGGCAGTTGGATGAATGGGCTGCTTTGCCGCGATGTGACGGGACGCGTGAGATACGTGCGCTACGGCTGGGCGAGACGCGGCTGAAACGGATGACTGGACGACGCGGCCATCAAAAGGCGAAGAAATGCACGTCGACCACAGCAGATTGAAAGGGGGACGAGGCGAAGCTGTCAGCCGCTTATCATCAAGTGGTGCTGCCTCGAGGTTGAGCTTCGCGTTTTGCGAGGTTGTCACTGAGATACTGGGAGACTTTAGGCTGCGAGACGTGTATCCAGTCGGGGACATGGCGAGGTGGTCGCTCTTGGGTCTCATGGTCCCCGCTTCTCCTGACGTCTTCTTGATTCGGCCGTTAGTCGGTCCACTTGCTCTCAACGATCGATCGTTCGCAGGATCTCGCAATCACGTGGTCAGGATCTGTGGATCAACGAGTTCTCTTCGTTACGTCGTACAACGTTTACGACTATACTCAAGAAGCTTAGCACAGCTTTAACTGGACGAGCTAGCGAGATGGAGGAGGCATCAAAGCTTGAAAACCTGAACTTGCAACGAGAAATGCCCGAGAAATTTACCGATGGGTTGCCTGGTTGATTTTGAACGCACGGGAAACCCTGGGCACCAAGTGCGACTCTGCACGAGGTTTCCGGGAATACCGAGAATTGGATGGTGTGGGTGTGCCTTGTGGTGGACGTGTAGCATGCTTTGCGATCAAGTAGTATCTTGGCTGCGTTATCCACTTTTGCTGAAAGATGCGCCGCGAGAAATTGGCTGCGTTTGCAGGGATTGACCTGAAATGGGATGGGATTGTTGGATGTAACGACCTGCTTAGGTGATAGTGCAGTATCAATGGCGAATACACCCTTCATTACACCATGCGAAAACAGACGACATGTCGACTGAACCAGGATATATAAACTCCTGCTTGATGAAGTCTTCGGGAACTTGATAAGCTGTGGCTTGACTGCAAGACGCTGTGCCAAGAGCTCTGCTTTCGTTTTATGTAGAGCTCGGTGCAGCTTTTTACCGTCCTCACTTCGACTCGCAAGTTTATGAAGAGCAATTACGACGGTGCTCGCGATCTCTGCATCTTCGGACTGTAACATTAACCGAGGGGATATCACTGGGTATCACGTTTGATTTCCCATATCATTTTGTCGAGGCCGTCAATGCATCAAGTCCAAAGAAATTCATCACACGTTGTTCGGAAGAAAAGTTACAGACGACAAGAGCTGAGATTTGGTCCAGCATACCGAAAGCCGAATCTCCTTTGTAAGCCCAAAGCACGTTCAACTTCTCGCTCCCGGACGTCGGATAAACAACTTTGGATCTCGTTAATGTCGTTGACGTACAGGAGACGCGATGTTTTGTTTTCAAGCTGCTAATCTTCCAACAAGAGCTAAACTTGGCCGATGTGTTCTTCGGTACCTGGACAAGTTCATGATTTGTTGCACAAGTAGTGATCAACGTATTCACAAAGCGTTCAGACAGGCTCGCAAGTGTTCGCTCGCATTTCATCATCACAAGCCGTGCGCATGAAGAAAAATAATTCATTGTCATCTGGGCAAATGCCTGTTTATCATCCGGTCAGCAAGTTGGCATTACTTGTCCTATAAGATGCAGTAATAATTGTATGAATATCTTGTCAAATGCAGCTGCTGATGGTAACCTCAGCTATTCCAGTGAATTGCTCGCACCTTGTGGATCAACAAATAAGCTACGCATGAAGAAGGCTTTGGTAGCGGCTTACAAAACATTCGTTTGCGGCACTCGTTCTGATCGAAAAAGTGACGACTAGTGATAGTCTGGACCAGACATTGTTGTGTTAGTCGACTGAGGGCTTCATGAATTGGGATGCAGTTCAAGATAGGAGTAAGCTCATTGTGCAGCTAACATCAGTCATAGTGTTGAGAAACTGTGGTACCAGCGTGTTCGGAATCATCACGTGTCGAGCGGATTGTTCGACTGGCACCGAACAAGAGAGTGTGATGACGATCGAACTAGCAGTTGGAAGCTTGGTGTTCATTCGTTTACGCGACACAGTTTCGACTCAGTCTTTGTCTTGAATTCGACCTCCATCAAGAGCTTGCAGTATGCTGTGGCGCGATTCTACCGAGCGATTGCACCAAGAGAATTAGAATAACCGACACTGTGCAATGCAAGGAAACTAAGCACTAATCGATTTGTTCACGTCGTAACCTTTACCTTCTATTTCACTCACGTGATAGGAAACAGGGCAGGCTATTAGTCGAGCAGAAGGCAAGTTACCCGAGTGAAGCTGCACTCCGAGAGAGCTTGAGAGTTTCTTGAGCCGTGCACATGCTATTTTCCGTACCCTGCAATTTGGCATGGACCTACACATTGAACCCTTCAGGTAGCACATACGCTAAGCTTTGGACTGCTCTCCCACCTTCCTTGATTCGTGAACTGAGATCCTCAAATAAGTGTTCAAGCATCCTGTTGATGCAAGCTTTTGAAAACCTGATGCAAAGTCTACTACAAGTGGATGTCCAGAGCATCACTTTCCACTCCATATGCAGAAGTGTAGCTCGCTGCATGATTAGTTTCATTGCTGCGATAACGAAAATGTACAGCAGGCATAGTGGTCCGGTTTCCACAAAGACAGATGACGTTGCGGGGTCATTAGAAACCAAAGTGTGTTTGAAACGAGATAATGACTACTGACCTCCCACATTCGTCCCCTTTGCTCGATTCTTGCTTGATGCATTCATAAGGCTTGTTTCGACAGAATGGGTCACCGCCAGTAATGCTATTCAAGTGATCACCATTTCAAGTATCTGTGCAAGAACCGGTTAAAAGCGCGATCTCAAGTACCACAGCACAAATGAACCAGCCTGAGACCGCACGTGACGGGTCACAATAACATTGCACTCCTTTGACTGTAGCAATCTCAATTTTTTTCAGTTGAGCACGCATAAAGGAGGAGATTTGATACTGCTTAGCCCAAGCCAAGCTCGTTCATGTCTATATTCTGTATAGATCGACATTTGGAGTGAAAAGAACTGCATGCACAATTGGCAGCTCTTATTTTGTGATGTTGTAATGCCGCTCAATGCCATATCCATACGCGTGTCATTACGTGATTTCTTGATATCAAACGATACCGATCTGTGTCTCATACGATGATGGCTCAGAGTGTGGTTGCAAGGGTACGCATTGGTAACACTACGCTGTTGTGATCCTTTGAGCATAGTCATAGCTGTCAAACATTGTACAGGACTGATGGCGATATCGTGAGGATCGAATGATACCGAGAACAGTGTGGCGAACAACAATGATATCTTTCAGAGGTAAGAGGCTGGTTGCACAAAGTGAAGGGGATAAAGTCCGTTGTGAGTTGAACCACAATGTAGTAAACTCACAACGGACTTTATCCCCTTCACTTGGTCCTTACACTTCAATGCCAGAAATGATCACAAATGCCGAAAACGACCTACTGCAACGTAGTACAAGATGGCATCGTAAATGCAGCTCAAATCGTTCTGGCTTGCATTTTACACAAAGAAAGGAAGCTTTGGTAGCCTCGAAGCTTCGGGAAGTTTTCTACCGCGACAACACTACTCATGCCGTGTGGGCATTGTGATAGATCTTGGTTACAGTTGAAATCTCATCGTTGGCAGAAGAGATTCCACTTCTTCTTTTTGCCCGTAACAGCCAGAAGGTAACGCACGAATTACCAACAGCTACAAGTATGTTCATACGACATCAAATTTATCTTCATAACCTGGAGACCAGCAAAGCATACACAGACACGATACGCAAGTTTCACACTGCCATCGTTGCCTCCAATTTCGTCAGTAAGTATTAAAGCTAGCAGTGAGGGATGCACCAAATATTGCTAGCTTTGGAGACGCAGCTGTCCGCCTTCTCCATGTAGTATGTAGCATTCGCTTCGGCCTGGAAACAAACACTAGAAGCCAATACTGTATTCAAATACGTGTCAGTAGTAATAAAGGGCAAACGACCACTGCAACATCCTTACTTGTTGCCGCCCCATACTCCAAGACCAAAGTGTGACTCTAGAATTCTGTAACGCGCACGACATCTGTAGCAAGGCGCGAAGTGTTGTCTACTAGTTTAAGGTAAAACAAAACTGGTCACTTGCCTATGCTAAATAAATAAATTGGACCGGTGTCTTCGATTGATAGTAGGTGTCCAGCGGTAATTTGTGCTGAAGACGAGAGACAAGGTGTAAATATGGTTCAAGAAACGCTCCGAAGTCCAAATGCCAGCATTCGAAGAGGTGACGTATGTCATGGTCCGTCTATCTATTCGATATAGACCGCATATCGTCATTAGTTAGCTGGATAGCGAGCTTGACCGAAGCGGTGATTCCATGAGAGGCAGCAATCGAGTGATATCTATGCCAAACTTACGCTGTGTGGACAATGCCTCACTAGCGCAGAGTTTGTACTGAAAATAGGTGGTGACAACTTAGTTGCTGCATTTCCTCACTCTCTGGCGGGTTTATGAGAGTAAAGTAAGAACAGTAGGTGCAGCTAAGATATATAGCGAGCGTGTATATGCAACTACTTCAATCAGAGCGCTGTCTAGAATCGCCCACCGGTGAAGTTCGAATCAGTTGCACATATACACGCAAGATTTGGGGCTAGCGTATAAAGCCAACTTCCAGAAGCAAATTTGCTGCACCAAGATCCTTCTATGTGCGCTATCGCACTGGCAACGGCAGCGTATTTTCATCATGAGGTGAATTTGCCAGTGTCTAACTAAAGTGGCTCGTTACGAGCAATCGTTATTATTGTCGCGTGGATTTTGACGAAGGACTTAGTATGTCGGATGTCTTTGGCTAGAATAACATGGATCGCGCACAAAGAGTCCGTTGGGTGTAGCTACTCCTCTTCTGTTGCATAGGAAAATGTTTCGCCACATACTGAATCCAGCGAGGCTAATAGTGCATTTCGTGAATGATCAACCCAAGTCGATGATAGTTTTCGTGCAAAAGACGAAAGGCACATGGCATTGTTTAAAACTGTAGACTGCGAAGCATTGATACAATCAGTGTGCCGATGGGGAATGACGCAATAACTGTTGCATTATTTTTCCGTCGGACTGAGACTTGTCGTAAACTAGAATAGTATTCGTGACGGTAGAGTCGTGGTTACCACCGTATGATATGCCTTATAGCGAAGCATGTTGTCAGTTGTAGATGAAAAATAACGATCCGGCTTTGGCGAGTCCCAAATTCAACAAAACGAGTGTCAGCGTTAGCACTCAGTACTGATGGGAGTTTAACACGCCAAAGCAATATGCTGACCAGTTGTATCCACAAATTGCTTGCTTTTGTAGTCGCTAGAAGCGATCATCTGATTATAAGGATCGTTCCGCCTAACACTAGAGCGAGTTCAATACAGGGGCCGGTTGACCTGACTGTCGAACTGACAATTTTATGATGGTTCGTGGATTGTTTCATCTTCACTGACCTGTTTTCACTTCCATTGCATTGTTTGAAGGCGCTTGACAAGCGAGTGATCGACAAGTTTGCAGTGCGAAGGTTTACTAGTTGGTCGACTCGCTATCCTAGGGATTAAATAGTACTCGTTGTGTCTGATACCGGAAGCTGTACTAAATGTTTTGATTGTAGCTTACCTGTAACTTGATCTTCAGCTTTGTCATTCGTATGCAGTAAAAACTCGTGAAAAGTGACAACATCACACAAAGAATGACGGTTATGCCTACAAGCCGTTTTTCCTGACAGAGTAAAGGTGCCTTCTGACAGATTACAGGTAGTCCAACTTGCAGTTATGTATCGATGCAGAGTAGAGCCCTAGACAACGCCGTCGAGACCTCCACGCGTACCATGTTCTGCCTACAGCTCTTTGGTGCTTACATAGAACAGCTGTGACTTTTCGTGTTGAAGTACGTGCTGAGATACTATAAGACGCTCGAGGCTCTTTTCGATCCAGTGCAGCGGAATGCACTTGAATCGCTCCTGGTTTAGTATTGCATCCACAATTTCCACAATTGAGGATCCTTGTGATCGGTCTGAACAAAGAAGCCATGACCATTTAGTACCTCGCAACCCACACATATGTGCAACTTCTTAGGGCACCTCGAATAACTTGCAGAAGCACAGGCTTTAACGCCACCTCAAAGCTCAACAAAACGTGGCGGTCTGCCTCATCATCCTCCAAGAACAAAAGCCCTGCTCGATGCAGCTCACGAAAAGAGAATTGCAATGCCCTGATTCTCTGGTTCTTGTCGACTGTTTTGCCGTGTTTGTCCACCTATCATGAACATCATGTGAGAATATAGCGTACCGAAGCAAACAATTTTAAGTACACTCGCCATCGCGACAGGTCCAGGTGAGCTGATGAAAGTGCTGAAAGAGATCATGCTGGCTTCCTCGGAACCACTTGTTGTTTGCTGTAGAAGAATGAACTCAAGAAGTTCCAGTAACGTCTCATCGTAGGAGCCACGATCGCTTCGACTCAAAAACCGCTGCTTTGTGCTGATAGCAATCGAGAGCTCGAAGAAAGCTTGAGCGGCAATCTTTTCCCAGTGCGCCTCGGTCTTCGTACAATCACCAGTTTCCGTCTGTGACTCACGTGATCCGCTAGCAGCGGATAAGTACCCTCTTCTCTAGCTCCATCACTTGTGTCCAATGCAGCAACTCTGCATTCGGGTCGTCCACAGGAGTGATTCGTAGAATTCGGAGCTCACGAGCTCTTCCACTGCCATGATCGAATATTAGACACAGTGTTATGATCTTATTACATGACAACAGTCAAATCAACGTCACTGACAGATCAACGGCGTCCCAGCTCTTATCCATATTCAGCTTCCCTTCCACATGCACAAGGTCTCCCAGCGCTACCGGTGCACAGACATTTCCCCCCCATAACACCGTCTTCACGAGTGCAGTACCGTCGTCAATCAAAATTTCGACTGATACGAATCATCAGTTAGCAGCTGATATTACTTTCGGACTTCTAGGTCTCACCTCGATCCGCTCGCTCCACGGTGGAAATGACCACTCCAATGCACTGGGCTTTTGTCAGAAGACGTGCTCTCCAGAGTCCTGACATCTTGAATCGCCACGCATGACTTGCTGGAAGACCTCCGAATTCGACTAAATCACGACTCACGTGCACGCCCAAAAGCTTCACGAAGCTCTGAGAAGCAGAAAAAATGTAAGAAAGAAAGGAATTTCACGTGTGTGATGGCGAAAACGCCTTCTTACCCATGTCAACGGGTCCTTTCCAAGTTCATGCATGTTTGGGGTATCTAAAAAACGAATGTTGGTTCAGGTCAAATGATGGGAAACAACATCGTAGTCAATCCCACCCTTGGACGAGCGATTCCGTGTATCACTCGAGTCGATAGTATACTTTGTCGCTGGACTCCTGTCTCCACCATTCATATTGAAGGCCGTAGATGTGTGTCAATTGGTCACTCGTTTGCACTATACCTCGTAAATGTGAGTGAACAGTAGAATTTGTACCGGTGGTACGCAAAGTGAAAATACTAAAGAAAATAAAACCTGAGAGTCGCTGCCCCCTCCCGTTACGCTCGACAAAGGGACACTTCAACTGTCAATTGATGAAGTAATGGAGCTAAAACGACGCGACCATCGATAGCAGTATCGAATTGAGTGCGACTGTAGAGTAAAGCGACTCCACGAGGAAAAACGAGGTGATCACTAATCTGCTTGAAAATAGCTCGAAGGGCTATGGCAAAAGGTTGGAGCCCATGGGGTTTTGAGTAAGTGATTAGTGCCGCTAGCGAGTGTCAAATAATCATGAAGTAATGCAAGCACATAGTTTTTGTGAGATGGGGCATAAAGGTGTTGTTATGCACAGCTAATGCATTTCTTAGGAGAGCAAGCTCTGGAATATGCCCTTCCATACAAGTAATTCATCCCGGAGAACTAAATCGAGGTTAGAATGATAGGTGGCTGAGGTCTAGATTGTGCTTTGCAAGTATTAGAAATGCAAGTGCTGATGAATTGTTGTGTGTTATAGCTACTCGTTGATGACGTTGATGTGTGTAAGAGACGAGCATACGAAAGAGAGACAGGGACGATTATGCCCCATTTGCACCTTCAACCTTGAAGCGTGGCGGACGAGATATAAAGGAAATGTGACAAGAGATATGGGAAGGTTCCTCTGGTCACCGAAAGACCATACATTTCTTCTATTCTATATATCAATCCCTACGCATTTACCTCACTTCACATTTACCGTTTGTGAAAGGAGCAAGACTTTCGGTGCTGCTACGAGTCGAACATTTGCTCATTCTCCTTCGACTCTACGTGCCCTTGATCACTTTTGAGCTAATCGTGTGTGAATGTTGTACGTATGTACGGAAGTAACGCTCTCTAGATGCGGGCTCGTTGGGTGACTGGATCAAAGTCTAACATCCATCATGCTTATCTACCTGAAAGGAGGATGCTGGTAACATCGGACCTCGTACGGCATCTATGGTACACCTGGTATCGTATGCAGACACACAGGCAGACAAAAAAGTGGTTATTGACAAATTTGGAATCCACCTTGAGCACAGTCGACAATAGCTTCACTTGTTGGACTTGCAGTGAAAAAATAGCCGCAGCGATGGCAGTGCTAGTAAGTTCAGCAGCCAAATGTGCAGAGCTGGTTCGTCATTATACGGTGACCTGGTGACAGAATATGGCAATGTGATTATGACGAATTGTATCACGAAAAAGTTCTTTGGCAACGTAGCCGTGATTGCTACAAAAGCGATGTTATGAAGTCGAAAAATTAGATAATGGACGCGCTTCATTTATCATTTACAGCACCAGCGTTGACGTGCGCAAGGATACAAATGTAGCGTCAAGTTTTGCATCCGCCGCAAACACCGATCCGGTAAGTGCTGCAGAGAAACCCATAGACTCTCGTTGATATGAGCAGTACATCAAACTACTGTTCTATTCTCCATCCGTCATGCTATGGTCTAGCTTCATAATTGTAAATGACGACTTCTCTAACAATGGCGGCCTTGTGCTAGAATCGTTTCGCTGACTTCTTTTACATTGCTCATCACATATGCTTGTCAACATCATGCCATGACCTTACCAAAAATTAAATGTCATCGAAAGATCTCATCATCGAGTGAGAGGTTTGTCGAACATTTAGCCTCTTGTTTTGACCGAGGGGTCACCGTCGTGACCTTATCGCGTCAGCATTCGCACCTTATTTGGACCATGCATTTAACATTCTGCCATCCACACCAAAGCGCGGATCTTCGACACGTTTTTTCTTCAGTATACTTCTTTGTTAACGATCCAGACATCTGCAGATTTGTTGGATAGCTTCGATGCGCTACCGCTCTTTTTGTGACAGCGCTTCAGAATTAGCTACAGCGGTCAACTTGGTTCAGCTTTTCTGTCATTCCAGTCCTAAAAACTACTCATTAAAACTAAAGAGAATATATAATTGCTAGATGGTCGTGAGGGCGTATTTACGGTCGCGCAAAGCGTCCTTTCGCATGAAAGCAGATAAATTCACAGAGTCCCCACTTGGCGTGATTAAATATGCCCGCCATTGAGTGATAAATGGAACTCAGTAGTTGACCAGTTTAAAGCCATGTGATGCTTTCTTGTACAGTTGCTCGCTGAGCACTCTATGCTTTACCCGTACATCATCTGATCGTGTAATTCTCCTAACGCGCCCTTAATTTGACGTGACTCAGCTGGCCTGTAAATGCAAGTACCAGCAATTGCCGATACCTCGACGCTTCAAGCTAGATCCAACATTTCGGCGCATGATTTTGAACGGTCTCGTTAGACTAAGGTAGGTGCGGTTTCTTCAGTTGTATATGGCTTTGCATGATACCATTGCCAAATATACTAGTTAATCTTGTAGCGACCTAATTTTGTCATCTTTTGACCCGAAACGTTTCAAGATAAACATTGGAAAGCCTTGTATGTGAATGGCAAGCAGTCTGCATGTTTGCATCAGTGCTAAAGTTTAAAAGATTGTAGTTGTCGACACTTATGAAGCATATCGTAGAATGATTGATCTATCGCGTTCTCTTGCAAGAGCGGTGCTCGAACAGCGCCATTCATATTAATAACCATGGCAAGTGGAGCGTCTCGAACTCCAAGGCTGATGAAGGCAATGCAGGTAAGTTGCATGGATAATATAAATGAGCGTGCATGCAAACAATTAATTAGAATGGCACAAGTGGCTGCAAGTTTACACATGTGATGGAATCGAGTCATAACGCGTAAGCATCACGTTCAAGTCTTCACCAATAATGCCTCTCCGACTTGCATTACCAATCGTCAAATGAGATGCTTCAGAAGTTTACGATTTAATCTTCGTTGTGGGAATGTAGCTCGCCACGATGTCAGGTGAGTCGCTCGTCATCATTAGATCCACATCGCAGCACGATACTTAAACTCGCCAGACACAGTCGCATTTGCTGCTTGTGTCGATCAACGTCTTTTTAAGACAGAACTAGTCATCTTCTTCGGACAAATTCTCTACGTAGGAAGTGAGGCGTAAATTCTGGATAGCTTTAACGGTTTCAGACTTTTACTTTTTAGCATTCCCGATTGACTCGTAATCTACCTGGTTCTCGCTTGCGCAAAGACGGGTATCGATACGCGCCAAGTACACAAGCTGTTCCAGACCTAGGAGATCCAGCAAAAGTTGCCATGAGTCGAGAAGCCTTGAGACCCTCCCAACACCACCACCAATACTGGTGTTATGCCATCGTGACAACAGTAAGTGTTTCGTAGAGTGACTGATAGACCACCCAGGCTTTCAAATGGGACCTGCTCGATCTTTTGTTGAATGAACAGTTAGGCAGCTTGTTCCGTCTCCTACCCTTGCTCGATAGAAGCGAGCACTTTTTGGTCCCCCACCTTGCTTGAAAGTTTCCTGGGTCTCTTATCCGTTAAGTAATCAGAGGTTGGACAACGAGAAGTGGTTGTGCCTCTATTACATCGCAGACGGTCGTTGTTAATGAGGGCATCGACCATCGATTTGCTGTCTATAGTGATGATTCGTCCCCCTTGCTCAGTTTGGACTCTCCAGTACCTTACAGCTCTTCCCACATACAGGATTGTTGCTCTCAATGCGCTTTGAAACTCGTTCAGACGCTTTTGTAAGGCTCTTTCGGCACCATAATCTCGTGGACAAAAGACTCGATCGCTGCGCCCAGTCACAAGGCTCAACTCAATCTCATTAACATTAGAGATCTGGGCATACCTGGAAGACAAGAGACGAAAGACGCGAAATGTCCTATCATCATCTGGTAGTTCCAGGACCCAATGCTTTTGTCGAATTACAAAGTCATTCGCGTGGGTTTGGGTCCGTGACATTGTCCCATTCTCTTTGGTCTGGGCAATGTCCACAAAGTCTCGCAACAAATAGATCCAGAACTGAGTCGTATTTTTGTATCCGGCCAAAGTCACAGATAGCTCTCAAACAAGGGACATCGAGCTTGCGACTCCAGAATACCGTCAAGTCCCTCGTCCCTCACTGGCTTTTATCTCACCTCGAACTCCCTCTTTCGGTCAATTCAGAGCAGTACTACCGACCTCTCTGCCAGAATTCCACTAACAGACCACGTCCAGGCTCTCTCTCTCTCTCTCTCTCTCTCACCCTCTCCACTCCTCTCTCTCTCGGTCCGTCCCTCGCTCGACGTCATGGTGCTCACTGACAAGCAGCGGCAGGATCTGTACGTGCGTCTGTCTCTCGCACTGTCCCCGTTGCATCACCTCCACGTCTCACTCTCCGTCTCTCTCTGTGTGTCTTTTCGTTCCTGTCCATGTCATTGTCCCTCTCTCTAGTCATCAAGCCATGCTGGACTATCTCGTCGGCATGGGTGAACGGTTCGCTGCCACAGCCGCTGCCTTTGAGAACGAAGCAGACGTGACCAAGTCCAGTGATGGCAAACACGCCGGTCTGCTGGAGAAAAAGTGGACGTCCGTCATTCGCTTGCAGCGCAAAGTCATGGAACTCGAGACAAAAGTGGCGCAGCTGGAAGAGACGGCGAAACTGGGCGGCGTCTTGAGTCGCAGGGACGTGCTCGGGGCCCGTCAGCGAGCAGAGTTTCTACCACGAGTGCCTGCCAAGCTCACGCTGACGGGGCACCGCTCGCCCATCACCTGCGTGGCTTTCCACCCCGTGTTCAGTGTGTTGGCTTCAGCCAGTGAAGACGCGACGATCAAAGTCTGGGATTTTGAGACGGGCGACTACGAACGCACGCTGAAAGGCCATACAAATCCCGTGCAGTCGGTGGCATTTAATGGTTCTGGCTCACTATTGGCATCGACATCAACGGATTTGTCCATTAAGATCTGGGACTTTTCCAGTGATGGAGAATATGAATGTCTAAGGACATTACGTGGACATGACCATAACGTTTGCGGAATCGTATTTGGACCAGACCTTGCAAGCGATCGTCTGTACTCGTGCTCGCGTGATAATACAATCAAAGTGTGGGAATTATCAACAGGCTACTGTGTCAATACACTTAATACTGGACACAGTGATTGGGTACGCGACATTGCGGTGAGCGATGATGGACAGTATTTGGCGTCGTGTGGCAATGACCGCTCGATTCTTTTCTGGGATCTGCAGCACATGCGCGTGTTGCAGTCTATCCGAGAACACGAGCATGTTGTGGAGAGTGTTGTCTTTGCCAAGACAGGGATTCAACAACAGGTGATCGGACGGGCACATGCCAAAAAAGCTTGCAGCTTCAGGAGCCTTCACGCCGGCTAGCGAAAACAGTTCTCACGAGTACAACAGTCACGAGATGACTAGCAGCACTGCAGGGGAGCCGTCTGGGGCGGTTATCAGCACCGCTGCTCCTAGCAATCATCGTGTGAAGTTTCTTCTGTCGGGATCGCGTGACCGTACGGTGCGTTTGTGGGAAGCCTTTAGCGGCATGCAACTTATGCTTTTTGCGAGTCATGAAAACTGGGTGCGCGAGGTCCGCTTCCACCCTAGTGGAAAGTACGCACTTAGCGCAGGCGAGGACAAGACGATTCGCGTCTTTGATATTGAGGTAAGACAGTCTCGTGTTTGTACATGTCCTTGGTTTATAGTTCTTAGACAGTTCTAACGATTGTTCTGCAACTCTATTTGTCAAGTCTGGTCGCTGTGTGCGGACGCTGGACGAGGCTCACAGCCATTTTGTAACGTGTCTCGACGTTCACCCAAGCCTTCCACTGATCATTTCCGGTGGTATCGATAAAGTCATTAACGTGTGGGAATGTGTATAAAGGTCGAAGCAGTGACAGCCGTACCATTCAGGTTTGGCTAGCTATCGATTACAAGCGAAGCTGATGACGTGGGCGCCACGTATTACGGCAAAGTCGGCAGCTCTTTGTTGCCTGCTTTGTCCTACCGTTGCAAGGATCGGCTAAGTATCAGCGAGGCGGTTTGGAATGTGGTTATGCTTGTTAGCAGACCAATCTGCTTGCAGGTAAGGTTGGTGATACAAATTAGATAGCGTAGAGAATGTGGATGGGTAGTGATACCCTCCTTTCCTAGTGTGCCACGGGTCAGGTCGCTTGGTTTATACGGGTGATTCCACGGGGTTTCGGGGCTCCAGTTATGACCTCTAGCGACCAGAGGACGACAATCAGGAATCGACAAGTTTCAATGTACACAGCCAGTGAATTCGCTGTCGTCGCTGTGTCTATCAATATCCACAGCAGTCAAGCAAGACACAAATCGACGCCATTCCCTCTTCTCATCAAATGACGTATTACCACGACTTAAATTCAGCCTACCAAATGACTAGCCCCCCTCGTCCTTGTATTCAAATTCTCCACATTGTGGTCAAGCTTCAAGCACTGCACGTAAGTAAAGGCGCGTCAAGCAGATAGCGACTGCATCTCCACAGCGGCCACACGAAACCACAGCAGACAGAAGTGTAGCCATAACGACCATCAGCACTCTACCACCACCACCCATCATCTGCTCTGCTCTCCCGATTGCCCTGTCGATACGCTCCGCCGCATCTCACTCGCCACACTCTGCAGTACAAGCAACCGTGGCACGCCCATCTATCTTAGGCGGCGAGCTTCACGCTCCCACTCGAGCAGACAAAGGATATCACCCTCACGTACAGGACCCTTGACATTACGGATAATCTTACGCTTATCATCCTGCAAGAACTCCACACGTACTTGAGTGACATTACCCGTGTTACCCGTGCGTCCGAGGACGTTTACGACCTTAGCCAGCATATAATCACGAGGAGCGTCCTGGACCAAGACAGAAGAGCATCTCCAGTTAGTTCTTCTTCTTCTTAGTCATATTATTATTATTATTATCATCATCCAGCAAAAGGTTGACCAGCGCTTTGGCCAGTCGTTGCTCGCTCTAGGAGCGTCCGTTGCAGGAGGTTAAAGTCGGAGAAGAAGCAGACGCGTCTCCTGAGGACGCTCGTGCATTTTATACATTCATACGACAAGCATGTGCACAGCACTGGCGCTTACCATTTTTTTACGTTAAGCGTCGATGAGGTAGTGCACTCGGTTGCGAGGAATGGTGCACCTGCCTCGGTTGCAAGTCGCGCTTAAATTTGCAGGATAACGTGATGGGAGAGTCGAGAGACCTCTTGTCTGTAATAATTGATGGTGTGGCCACCAGTGTGGGAAGAATGACGACACTAATGTATTTAATGTATGATGAGTCAACTCGACGTCCTGCCAACTTCGATCAGCTAAATATAGACCCTCTTTGGGAGAATAATGGTGTCGAATACGTGGACTTGACGCGACATTTCAGCCAATACTTTGATCGCTTCGCTAGTCTGTCTACAATTTAAGCGCGCTTAAGCAGGATTGGTATGGACCAACCACTCTTCAGACGGTCTCGTCACTATCCTCCCCTGACAGAGTGACAGAGCAAGTTGAAGTGATCCCCTACGCGTCGTCAGCAGCATCTTCCGGCATGTAGCAGCAGCAGCAAGTCACGGATCCATAACTTTATAATGCTTTCTATTGTGAGATTAAGTCAAAGTGACTTTGAAAAGTCTGTCGATTTCGAAACGCTTTGGGTGCAAACTATGAATGCCAGGCTTTCGAGTACAAGCGCATTAGACGCCATGGCTTGTACTGCCCTTCACGAGTATTAGTTATATTGTAACGACAACGCTATTGTCGATGTAAGCCTCCTCATACAGAATGGCGATGACTTTATTGGCTGGCGCCATGCGCTCGTGCTCAAGGGCCTAGTTTTCAAATTGACGTTACGATGGCGGCTCATAAGCAGGTCAATGCCAGTCGTCGAGAATCTGTCGAAGTGATAAGGGTACTGGTGCTCTGACGCCTTTTGCAGCATATTCGTTCGCGTAGCATTATGACGGTCAGGGTAATAGTAGGGGGACTGACTGACTTGATGAGCTTAGACGCAGAAGCCAAAGCGCTGAGTTTCAGGATAGTCGAGATCGCTGCATACTGCTTCGATCCACTGGCACGACTTTGCCAACTCCACAAGACTTCTTGTGACATTGATCGAGATTCCATGAGTCGTCCTCTCGAGAATCACGCTTACGCCAAAATGTATCGACGAGGCTTTGTGCCTGTTGCTAATCATTCCGAAATGGAACGTGGCTTTCGTCGTCGCTTATCCTGTGTCAATCTGGTCGCATAAATTGACCGTTGCTGACACATGATGTGACATGAGTAAGTCATGATGATGGCCCTTGCTTGCTAAGTGAGGTTGATGTTCCTCCAAGGTAATCAGAACGTGGTCTTGTGAAATGTGCGATGTACGTAAAGAGTTGCAGGCAGTCCAACTTTGTAAAGCTAATGCAAGCAGCTAAATTAGCTACGTGGCTTGGTCTGTAGGACGCACAACCTGTTTATTACAAACGCGTCGGGCTATATCGTAAGCGAGTAGTCGTATTTGCAACAGCCTGCTCGCTAACATACACTTGTAGTCTTGCTTCTGACAAGGAAATGGACAAATCAATAGCACAGATTGAGCACAACAACCCATATGATACACGATTGCGGTACTCATTGACAGCCAAATTAGCTCCGTTTGCCCACAGTCGGAATACGCAACGCCAGAGACGCGAGATAGCTATGTCAGCTCTTGCCTTCAAGCAGCAAGAATCAGCACGTAGAGCAATTTCTGCACATGGTTCGTCCGGACTATCCATGACGAAAAAGAAGAGGACATCTATCGCCTAACAACAGCAAACAACGTCATTCCCGGCGAGAAAGCTAAGGCTGCAAAGAGTTCATAGCGCCAGGTCGTTTGCAAACGGCAGAGCTTGACTCAATAATTTCATTCTAAAGCGCTTTGTCAGCCGCGTAGGTATCTTCATTCGAGCTGTTTCAGACTCCGTATGCTGCACCTTTCAAGACACATGATGGCATCATGACAAGGCTGGAGAGAGGTGTTGATCGCGTTCAATTTTTTAATGGTCATTCATCTTTGTCATTTCTTAAAAAACAGGAGACAGGCAAGTGGACATGTCTGCTGACAATAACACCGAGTACTCTTCGACTACCGCACGCCCATTTGCAGTCGCAGAGTGGTTTCTAGACCTTCCATCACGTCGCTGATGAACTAGAAGGTCTACATGAAGTGCGTCGACGGCAAGTACTGGGCTATAGCTCCTGGCAACATGATACAAACAGAAGAGCAGTCGTTCTGGGCGGAAAAAAACTTGCTTCACGTCAGCTGCATCTTCTTTTGGAATTCCTGCGTCAGCTCATCCAGCGTCACGTCCGGATTGGCCTGGAAAAAGTCTAAAAACGCCTGTGCGCCAGCAGTTCTCGCTGCATTCACATCTCCCTTCTCGCCTGCCTTGTACACCACGTTCTCGGCCTCGAGCTGCAGCTCTTTCTTGTCATAGTACTCGGGGTCCGCCACGCGTTTCATCAGATTCAGAAACTGCTCGTACTCGCAGCAAGAGAGCAAGATCTGCACGAAAAAGCTCAGTCTCGTGTGTCGCTGCCGCTCCTCGGAGAGCGCAATCTCCTCGTCGCACCGCGTGCAGTATTGCTCCATCGTAAAGCCTCTCGCCGCCAGAAACGCCTCAATGTGGGCATTAGCCGTGTCGATAAAAGCCTCGTGCAGCTCCTTCCACGACCTAAGAATCGCAACAGCACCAATTGCAAAAGTTCAACAGACGAGACAGCCCCGTTAATGGCCATACAAATGTAACACCAACCACAAAAGAGGTACAACAAAAGGACAGCGTGGCACGCACAGTTCGACCTTGTCCAGGTCGGCCGCACAGGGTCCTCCCTTTGTGAGGAGAATGGAGAAGTGGCTCGCGTGGGCGCCACAGAAATTGTCGATCGCTTCTTGAAAGTCTTCGCTCCCGACGTAGGCGGCGACCCACTCGAGGACGTCGTCGCCTGGCTCCATGTCCTTGACGAGCGGCGTCTCGTAGCGCAAGAGCAGGTCGATGGCGTCGAACATGGCCATACTTAGTGCGAATGTGACAATGTGAGTGACTCTGTATCAATTAAGAGAGACTTGAGGGTACGTCGTGCGAGTCGGATAGTGAACGAAAAGACGTTTTGTCTCTTCTTGGCGGTGAGTGGACTTGTGTTTTGTATGCTGGCATACAAAACAGCTGATAGTTGGATAAATAGATACATCGAGCACGTCGAAAGGCGAGACGACGACGGTCGCGGGGCAGATTCGAGCTATGCTATTTGAGAGGGAGTTCAGCACATAGACAGACCGTGCGACAACAGCAGAGCATCGAGAAGGTGGAAACTCGAAAAGAGACCGACATTCTCCCCCTGTCGAATGTCGCCACACATGGTTCTCTACCTGTTGGAAAGAAATGCCCACTTGACGCACAGGATGTATCCATCGCTGCTTGAGTAACGCCCTCTGAATTGTTTGCATCGTCAGGGACGGGTTTGGACCGGACAGCTACTTGGCTATGTGTAAAAAGATCCTATCTAGCAATGCTGGTTTTTTTAAGTAACGTCACTAGCACCAGAGCACCGTGCACTATATTAGCGATGCTGCTCAGAAACAAAACCCAGGTATGCGTACCACGTCGAAAACCTATATGATACAGAGCGGGTCATCGTGAATGAGAAAGATGGATGAATATGCAATCCAGCCATAGTGTCAGCAGCTTGAGATGTGCTGTGATTCGTGTACTTTGTAGCATATCTGTCTTGGTAAACATGCCTCTTTCGCTGTTCGTCCCCAAGGTCCACATCGACTTCTAACTTTTCTTAACTGTGTAATCCCTTCATGGTGTAAACGTAAAGAAAACAATGTCGTCTATAGACCGGATCCGTTTAGCTTCCCCCTCATTCTCTTTCCGTCGTACTCGACTTTCCACTCTCATGTGCTGAAGCACAAATAATTAATTGGTGCGCGGAGGTCGTAAAATACGCTTTTCTATGGCTTAATGTGCGGATAAAAAGGTGCGTGGAAAAGCTGAAAGCGCACACTATCGAGCTCATGCAATTGTTGATCCCATGGACAGATGGGCGTTAGCGGCTTGACACATTTATCTTGAGATGGAGAAGCAAGCTCTGGGGCTTGTCTTTAGATACAGCTGATCCAGTGTTGGATAGTCATGCACCCATTTTGGATGATCAGCTCCAATTCCCCACAATTAGGTTGTGCGTACGTTGTGAGGTGTAATGACCACGGTGTTGCCGTAGTTGTTTGATAATGAAAGAGCTCGTTCTATTGCTGATGTATGTGGTAAGAAGAACAAGAGAAGAAGAAGAAGATGACGGTTAATCTTTCATGCGAAATTAACAACGAAGTGTGACTGATGACATGAAATATTGATAAGAAAGAAAGGGTTGAGGAGCTCCTTCTTCCACTGAGCGAGGAGGATGCATCTCCATTTACGTGAAATATTGTTTCTGCAATTACGACGGAAGATGAAAGTGTTGCATGTCAATGTTGTCTCGTCAATGCTACTCCATTTTCATGTCTCAAAGCCTTCTCATCAGTTTTACCTCGCTCCATCATTACGTCAACTAATAATTGATTATTGCAACGTGCACTGATGATCTTCTGCGGTATCGCAGGGATGTGGTGCTCAGCAATGAGTCGTAGAGCAGTATGCGAGATTGATGCTATTATCGTGGTTCCCAACACTCGACAGCTTCACAATCAAAAACTCAGTCCATTGTTGTCGACCGTCGTGGCGCAACATTCGATCCATATCAAATTAAGTTCAGACTTTCATGCGAGCACTAGGTCACCAACACGACAATGTCCACCACTTGTTGACCTATCAAGTCGCACTCCGTGACCTCACTAAAACAATGACATCTACTCTGTCAACCAACTCAAACCTTCCGTTCCCCCGACATGTATCCTACCGGTATCAACCTTAATACCGGTACACACACGGTACGCTCTTCCTCACCTCCTGCCAACAAAATGTCGACGCCAAGCTCGCGGCCGTCCAGTATCGCTATTGATGACCTCCAGGACGAGACACACGAGTCGCGCACGTCCCCTCCTGCCGGCCCCATCACGATACCGCTTTCTCCAGTGCAGGACAGCAGCAACAACAGCGAAGACCGATACGACGACGACCTCCTCCAGTCCTCGTCAACCGCGACGCTGCTGTCCCTCACGAACTCGATCCGTGGCGAACGTCCACTGCCGTCTCTCCACTCCCCGCTCGTGTTCCGTGACGTCCCGTTCTCCGTGACGTTCCTACTGCATCTGGTGGTGCTTCTGCTTCTCACGGACCGACTCCGCTCGGACCAGGAGCGACGGCACGACCGCAGCGAAGTTGTCGGTGAGCTGCTGGACGACGAAGTGAGCCGGACTTTGGCTTCTGAAGAAGTCGTTGTGGCTCTGCACTCGCTCTGCCTTGTCAACTTGCTCTTTGCGCTGGGCTGGCTGCTTTCGTTTGTCTTTTATTCCAAGCGGCACTTTGTCCAAGGCTCGTGGGTGCTGAACATCGTCGGGCTCTCTGCACTCGCTGTGTTCCTGCTCTTTTTACTGGACTTGAGCTATGCTCTCGTCTGGGGCATTCTATGTGTGGCGATTGTGGGGCTTGACTTGGTCTGGTACGTGCGCTGTAACGGTGGCCTGGACTTTGTCGCAGTGTTCTTTGACCTTGTTGTGGAGCTCCTTGTGACGCACCCGGCGCTTGGGTATGTTACATGTACGACATTGGCAGTGTATACTGTTTGGGCTAGTTGGGTCTGCACGACGATCGGGTATGTCCAGCACGAGCTGTCGCTCTGGAGCTTTTCCATCATGTACCTCGCCTTCCACTTTTACTGGACGTCAAATGTGTTGAAGAACATTCTCACTGTTGTTGCATCGGGCACGACCATGATATGGTACTACCAAAACGAGCCAAGCGACGTATTGGCTGCGACAGACAAATGCGAGAGCGTCACAGACCGCGACGCTTCACGTGGAGAGACATCTGACCATGCACAGCAAGATTTGATGATTGGCAACCTCGACCGCAAGGTCGTGCTGCACTACGCGCGGTGTGCATTGTCGAGTTCGTTTGGATCAATTTGTATCGGCTCCTTGCTGTGTCCTTTAGGACACCTTGTGTGGATTGCTCTACGCTGGGCTCGGCGAGACGAGTCAGTTCTCTCACGATGGTTAATGTTGCTGCGCTCGGAACGAGTTGAGCACTTTATTCGCACGTATCACAAGTACTCTTTTGTACACATTGCAGGCTATAACAAGCCGTACTACGTGGCAGCACACGATTCATGGGAATTGATTGAATACTACGGCGTGGAAGCTATTGTAGACGACGATCTGACCAGTCGCATCTTACTGTTTGCTAGCAATGGCTGGGCCGGCGTCATGAGCACGCTGACTGCGCTAGCACTATCCAGTGCTTCGACACACGCTACTTTCTGTACACTGGTGTCATTCACACTTTGCTACACGACTATTTCGTTGGCTTCACAAGTGATTGCAGCGGTCATTAAGACGCTGTTTGTTTGCTTTGCCGAGAATCCGGAACGACTCAGCCAGCTGCACCCCCTTATTTACCACCGGTTTGTGCGACTTACTGAGCTCAAGAGCTTTCACGACCACAGGGCATCCGCCTATTGTCGTCCGTAGCATAACTATCGTAAACAAAATGCGACTAATAATTGAACACGAGAGTACGCGGCAGGCGCTGTAGAGAGTTTGATTATGCTCAGGTGAACATATTTTGTAGTCAAATTTAGTAATGAAATAGGATCCAAAGTTTGGATGAAGCCATTCGACTTTGTTTTCGATCATTCTTCGAGTCGCACAGAAAAAGACACCATTGTATGAAGAACAGCCTTTTACTCGCTGTGATGGCACTGTCGGCCACGGGAATGTGTCTCGTGCCAATTTTTGGTCTGCTCTTTCAATTGCAGCCGCAAGTCATGCAAGGACTACACGTCCGCACCAGCGGGGCAGCCTACAATTGCTATGTGGTAGGCGTCATGTACGCCGCTGTTTTGTTGATGTGCGGTCTCGTTACTCGCAATTGCTTGTGCACCAAGCAAGAAGAGCCTCAGTGCACCGGATTAAGAAGAAACGAGTGCTACAATCTCCCGTTCGTAGAGCTGGAGAGCAAAGAGTTTTCTCGAGCCATGGACGCGATGGACAGAAATGACGACTGCCGTACTTGAGTTTCCCACCAAGTTTCACTGTTGCAACTGTAGTGCAGCTGAGCTGAAGCGGTCGTGTCCACTTACAACGAGAAGGCATACCCATTGTTCGACGTAGCAAGTTACGGAGTGAATAACCGGTAAGGTTAAAGCTCTTGTAAGCGTGTCAAGAGCGTACAAAGACAACGAAAGTACAACATCACATGATCCGGAAGGAAGAGCGTTCAAGTTAAATATGAAGATCAAGCGGTGCTTTTACGCTTGCGCACATCTTTGATAGCCCAAAAGCAACTATGAACACATGTTCTTACATTCATGCTACAGCATGTGTTGCTGATGGTGCTCGATATTAAGTTACTTGTGAAATGTGCTATCATTTAATATGAATTAAATACTGTAATCGATTTTTATTTAACAAATGTCAGATTACTACAAGTGGCCGTCAGCTCGTGATTTCGTGCCATTTTTATTGTTAGATCATATCAGACCTTCCTCCATATGGCCTCTTCAAAATTGTCGCCCATGAACGGATCCAGAATGGCGCCCGCGCTGTCGGCTATTCGGAACTCGCCTTGCCCAATATCGTCGTCTTCCTCCTCTTCCTTTTCCTTCTCGGCTAACTGCTGCATGCGCCGCTCTTCCTCACCTTTGCCGGTCGTGGCAAGCACCGTCTTCTAAAGATTGGAACGCCTCTGCAGGCCAACGAACGTTTCAGCTGCGCCGAGCCTTGGGCGATGGTGACCTGTTTCTCGCATTTGCCAAGCCCAAGACGGACACGCTGCTTAGTGTGCACTCGATTGTTCGTTTTGTGGTTTTTCAAGCCGCCTACGTTGTAACGGGGTGAATCGTTACATAACAATTTATAAGAAATTGTTAATAGAATATAATTATAAGAGTTATATTCTCAGAATTTTGTCATAAGGACAAATATTCCGCAGCACTTACGAGTAGTTCCTAAATGGTTGATATAGGCCATTATATCAACCAATGAAGACGCGCCACGACAGACGCACGCAATGAGTGGTGAGCAGATAGTTGATTTACGCATTTGTATTTAGACATAGTTAGATGAGGATAAATAGTGATTTATTGCAGACATTAACTATGATAAATACAGTTCTACTTTTTACTTAAAATAAGTACTCGCTTCTTCTTACCGTCTTCCTCTGCACGTACCAGTGTACGTGAAGTTCCGAGGCACCGCCTTATTCTGTCATCAGAATAAGTAGCTCGTACTGTTACCAGTACAAGCTTCAGGGTGCCCCGTTACATACGTCACCAGCCGGGTTGCTATGAGTTTGGACGAGCACATTGGCAAGATCGTGCATGTTGTGGTCATAGACTGGCGTCCAGACCAAGGCGGGCGTTAGCTTACGCGATACCAGGATATTCGTGCCCTCCATGCACCTTGCGAGAAGCACGCAAACTGATCCGGCATAGGATTGTAGCTCTCATGGTGGTCGGTGGCGATCCGCGCCACTTATAAGAAGGGACTCTGGATCAGCTCGAAAAATGACGGCCCGTGCAAGCCGTCCAGAATCAGGCACACACTGTAAGGAACGGCTCGCTGACAAATGCAAGCCCGTAAGTCAGCGCGTAGATAATTCCAACGCGATGAAGAAAATCCAAACAAGCAAGTCGCGGTCAACATCAAGAACGGCAGGACATACTGATCGTTGAAAAGTACATGATGCGTCACATTGTTATAATGGGCTCACAATGCCTAGAGCGTCTCCTCACCCCCCTTAAGACGCGTGATACCGGCGCACAGCGGTGTCAGAAGCAGCGCCACTGCGATTTTTTTCTTTTCTTACTGAACGTCAAAGATGACAGTAAGGACCAAGTCCTCCAAAGAAAATTCTTGAACTTATCATTAAGATCTATAGCGTGCTGCATCTGATCAGCACAGATTTTACTAGCAGTTTGCGCTAAATATGTCAAGAACTGTGCACCAGCGTGTTTCATATAATGAATCAAGCTGTACTTCTTTTGCAGCTTTTCGACGCAGTAGACATTGTACATCATATTCAGCAGGTTCAAATTACTGATTTTGGTTACGATAAAGAAGTTGGACGAGACGATATGCTTGATATTTAACAACTTCAGCCAATTTATTCATGTGTTGTGCCCACCATGCACCGCGCTGCAAAACACGGAGGTGAATCGACCAGAATGTATCGCCTTGCGGCCAAAAAAATTTATAACACGAGACAAATCCTTGCTAAGTGTCCACATCAAATATATCTATTGGGCTACATCGGCGTCCACGACGACATCCTGTAACACGTCGAGGTCCTCCTCAACATCCATGCCCACCGACATACAGATACAATGACGTGCGTTCTTCGGCCTCTAGGGCAGGTTCGCCGCCATCTTGCTATTGGTATCATCTAGAAGCGCATGAAAATAGCGAGCGGCAAGCACGCCATCTTGCTTAGGAAATGCTTTTTCGACTTGAGAGTCGCGCCAGCGAGCGTCATGCAAATATTTATATGTGGCCATCATTCGGATTACCTCCAATTGGACGACCATGTACTCATCGTAATGCAGTAGCCTTCTAACAAAGTTAATTTTTTGGAAGTGGTAGGAGGGGCGAATCTTGTCCTGCCACGCTTTCAGTGTCCGCATTAAAAAAGCGCGAACGACTCCGTTGATCGATGCATCGCGAGCGCCAAAAGCTTGTCGGCATTTTGTGATCGTCACCATTCATGAAGTAACAGTAATGAGACGTATTGAACGACTTGCGCATCTTCAACGACAGCGCAGAGCGCTTTCTGGGACTGACCTTGATAGGATAGTCATCATTTCCGACACCTTGTGGTGAGAGATGCGCCCTGCTGCAAGGACCTCTAAAGCCTTGGATACTGGTAAACGGTGAAATTTCGTCAAATAATAACAACTAGAAAGCAAGCGATGTCTGATGTACCCCGGGGAAGCTCTCCTGTTGGAGTACCGATGGAACCCTTGAATGCCCCGGGAGAAAGGCTTGACGCAGTGTGTGCATTCAGCCAGGTCGAATTTTCTGTTGCTTATCGCTGGTAGGTGGTTAAGATGAAGCGTAAGCGCCAAGGTGGATCATCCGGCCACGTGTTAAACAGATGCATTTAAAAATTATGCGCTGAAATTTGAAATCATTAAAAATTCCATTTTATTTTAGGATTCGTTTTTAAGGATATTATAATTCCTATCTCAATCTAATGATAAATGTTCGCATCCATTCTTGCTGCTAAAAACTATCATTGTATATGATTTTGTAATAATTCATAGGAAAGGGAAATGGTAGGGTTAATTAGTTTTTGCGAAATCATCGATGAAATAATTTCCGCTTATCTGGTCTTTTCGCCAAAACAGTCTTTGAAGGCGAGTATTTTTGTATGCTAAAAACTCTCAGCGCATTTTAAAATTAGAGCAGGCGAGCAAAACATTCGGCCAGTTACACATAGAGTGCGCAAAAAAATTGAATTGATGCGTACACTGTTTCTGTGTGCTTAAGCTAGAGGTTTCTGCTTCATCTTGTTTCATTTTGTTGGCGTATGTTTACGCTGCGTATCACCTATCTTGCGCCTGCGTTTGCGCGATGCTTTGTATGCAATAGGCAAACGTGATTCTCTCACAGCGAATGCGCGGATAAAAAAATGTCTTAATTGGGCACGGGACATTATTTGAACAACTGAAATGCGCCCGATTCATTTTGTACAGGCAATGTACAAACATGCATCGGGCACATTTTAGTTGTTCAACAGCGTCTTTGGGTCACCATCTAATCCAGACATGTTGAAGAGGCTTGTAAGACCACATAGTTTGGACGAGAAATGTAGGCGGCGCTTAAAGCTGCCACGCACTACATTTCCACACACCTTCAGGAACCTGCGAGAAAACAGGTTTAGTGTCTCATCTTGCGTGCAGCGAGGTTCAGGTGGGCACTTTACGACTATGTCACCAGAATATAGAATGCTTAATGTTTTGTGTGGCTCGGACGCGGTTTTTTGTCTTCTACAACATACGTTATACATATATTACAATGAAATATTACTGTTTTTTACTTTATAAAGCAGAAATTTAGATGACTAAAAAGTAGTAGATTAAATATAGACGCGCGCTACGATGAGACGCGATTTTTAGAGCGCGCTTAAACTAATTATATGCGCGTTGATGAAGTAATTCAATGATGTCATGTATTGAAGTCAAATAGTGAAGTCATCCGCGCGTGTAACATACTTTTTGTAAAAGGTGCGCAAATGATGTACCATAACCACATGAAAGGTCTAAGTGCTTATCGCACAACATCGCATCTATCTCTTAGTTTTCCCTGCCTTTACAGGGATCGTTTTGTGTAACAGTTATACCCCATTACATCACCACCTTTTAAAAAGTATTTACCTAATTTTGTGAAAATCCCAACGAAGGATAAGATTAGGAAAGTGATCTGTCAAAGACGTGCTGTCTGTTGTTTGTGCGTGCTCTTTTGAGATGCCTGTGAGTACACCCATTCTTTGAGCGACACCACACGGCGTTCTCATGCCATGCATAGATGACAAGTTTAACGAGTCGCCTGTATATCCGTCCACATCTTCTTCTACTGTGCGTGTGAGTCGCGATGATATGACGGACACACAAAATGCTAGTGTCACTACGCCGACTGCTAGTAGAGTGATAGCGTAATGGACAGGTCATGCTATTTCGCCTCAAACATATTCTGTGGAGGATGACCTTCAATTATTGGTAGCGTACAATAATTATAGTACCTTGCCGTCACCGGATGCTGATGAAGAAAGTGAGCGTATGTGGCACAGGGATGGATTACATGACCCTAGCACTGATGCACACATCGCTCCTGTAAACAGCACCATCGAAATTGCGAATCAAAAAAAAATCTACCGACAACTAGGTTGTTCATGTTGAGTCGCCTACTAATCGATCGACCATCCATAAAAGATGCCGCGCTATCATCGAAGATTAACAGCTTCTTAATGTGTCAATGCCTCGTCCGAAGGTCCGAAATTCAAAATGAAAGTTCCGGCTTTAAAGAGTTAGATTAAAAAGTTCCTTTAAGAATACTGGGCCTTCATTCATCTGAGTCGCAATCACAATAATTTGAAGGCCGTTATACATCTTGTAACTACGTATTGATGCCTTCTTTTAGTGAATGTCCAGTGGCTGATGGATATGTTGCACCGCTTACAATTCGCACAACTATTGCCAGCTAAAAGGATTATGTAGCATCTCGTACGTAAAAGAGAGAAGACTAGCGATTTACCGTACCCTCCCAATTAATGTCATGCTGTTTCCAAAAAATCAACCGAGCTGTACGAAGCAGCATTTTCCTAGCGTATCAAGCCGCATCCTAAGGCGGCAAGGCAGCGACATCAGCAAATAAACCTTGCTCTAGAGCGTTTGCGTCAGCTAGTGGGTAATTGCATACCCTCTGCTTCTTCACGCTACGCAACTCCTTCTTGTCCATTGGGTCCAGTGGAGCGGGTGTAAGGGTTTGGTCTGATTGTAAGAGGCAAGCATCCAGGCACGTCGACACGCAATGCGTCTACCACTTCCAATTACTAAACATCTGGGGGGTACCCTTTCCATTGGACAAGGATTTTGAGCCTCTGCTTAATTCATCAGTGGAAGATCA